TCTCACCCAAGATTTGACGGTACATGGCCCCGTCCATCGTCCCTTTGATGCGGTGAAGTTGTCCGGTCCCCTTAGCAGAAAAACACCCCAAAGCATAATGTTTCCACCTCCATGTTTGACGGTGGGGATGGTGTTCTTGGGGTCATAGGCAGCATTCCTCCTCCTCCAAACACGGCGAGTTGAGTTGATGCCAAAGAGCTCCATTTTGGTCTCATCTGACCACAACACTTTCACCCAGTTCTCCTCTGAATCATTCAGATGTTCATTGGCAAACTTCAGACGGGCCTGTATATGTGCTTTCTTGAGCAGGGAGACCTTGCGGGCGCTGCAGGATTTCAGTCCTTCACGGCGTAGTGTGTTACCAATTGTTTTCCTGGTGACTATGGTCCCAGCTGCCTTGAGATCATTGACAAGATCCTCCCGTGTAGTTCTGGGCTGATTCCTCACTGTTCTCATGATCATTGCAACTCCACGAGGTGAGATCTTGCATGGAGCCCCAGGCCGAGGGAGATTGACAGTTATTTTGTGTTTCTTCCATTTGCGAATAATCGCACCTGTTGTCACCTTCTCACCAAGCTGCTTGGCGATGGTCTTGTAGTCCATTCCAGCCTTGTGTAGGTCTACAATCTTGTCCCTGACATCCTTGGAGAGCTCTTTGGTCTTGGCCATGGAGAGTTTGGAATCTGATTGATTGATTGCTTCTGTGGACAGGTGTCTTTTATACAGGTAACAAACTGAGATTAGGAGCACTCCCTTCAAGAGTGTGCTCCTAATCTCAGCTCGTTACCTGTATAAAAGACACCTGGGAGCCAGAAATCTTTCTGATTGAGAGGGGGTCAAATACTTATTTCCCTCATTAAAATGAAATCAATTTATAACATTTTTGACATGCGTTTTTCTGTTTCTTTTTGTTGTTATTCTGTCTCTCACTGTTCAAATAAACCTACCATTAAAATTATAGACTGATCATTTCTTGTCAGTGGGCAAACGTACAAAATCAGCAGGGGATCAAATACTTTTTTCCCTCACTGTATTACCTCAATTACCTCGACTAACATATACCCCCACACATTGACTTGGTACCCCCTTTATATAGCCTCGTTATTGTTATTTTATTGTGTTACTTATTTTCTTACACTATTTATTTATTTTAGCCAATCTTTTCTTACTTTAAAAAAAATCTGCATTGTTGGTTAAGGGCTTGTAAGTGAGCATTTCATGGAAGGTCTACCTACGCCTGTTGTATTCAGTGCATGTGACAAATTAAAATGTGATTTGATTTGATTTGGTCTGATATACCACAGCTGTCAACCAATCAGCATTCGGGGCTCAAACCACCCAGTTTATAAATGAGTTTATACCATGGCATTGTTCAATAGTCCTTTCTGATTGGCTTGTAGGGCATTCTAGAGCGTGCATTATTTCCTTATAAAGCACAGTAGAATTCAATAGCTATAGTTCATTTTTACAAGTTTTGTTTGGAAACAGTAGTGGTATTGTTGAATTTGATTTTCATAATAGCAAGCTAGGACTGATGGTTTGGCTAACTAAACTAGCAAGTCTGTTTGTTTGGTTTCCACAGCAACTACTGTAGCTATCTAGATAATTTGCTAGCTACTTCAGTGGATGTTGAACACATTTCTACTGGCAAATGAACACATTTCTAGCGGCAAATGTGTTAAATTATAGCCAGGATATAAAAGGGATAATCAACTCGGGGCTCTATGCGTTCTCTGGAAAATAATGCCACTCCGTGGAAGGTCAGTTTTGTTCCGCTAGCGCCTCATGGAACACACCTTCCACTGAGTTCATTATGTTCCATAAAAATAATAGCCCCTCATTGATTACCCCTTACTCACTAGATACATGAAGTGACTATCCATTCAGAACAGCCTTACTGATTGAGCTTTCGTAACTACATTATAATTATCTTGCATTTGATAGACTTCCCTGATGCTCAAACTTAATTGATTGGTGGACAGTTCCTCATGTAATGGTGATACACATGCAAGGCTGTTTGGAAGTGGAATGAGTACAGATACTGCTAATGATCTGCTTATACCGCTGATGCGTACCGATGAACAGTTTGATAGTAGCTACTGACCTTGTGTATTTTTTATGTATTTGTGTGTCACATGAAACCATGTTATAACAGTGTTATGCATTTGCATACAGACGCCACTTTTAAGGGATATTTGCAAAGATTGCATGCCAAAATGGTAACCAATCTGAACAGTTGGATTTCAGGCACAAATAAATGATCGTGATTATACATTGACCTTTGAATCAAACAACAACCAGAAAAAGCTCCCCAGACCAGCATTTAAAGCAATAATCTGCAACAAACACAACCTTCTGTCTCTGTGTCCAAAAATGTTACTTGATTTATCTCCATGTTTCTGTTATCATCATTCATTGATAAATAGTAAGCCGTAAAACACAATCACAGTCCTCAAGGCCAGAGTGTTTCACCAAGCCGGTACGCTGTGGTGAGGTCATTCAGTGGTACAAAGTTAGTAAACATGGAGACAGGTTTCTCCCTCCCTGCCTGTGCTCAGGGGATCTACCCAGTCAGCCAGCCAGACACACAGTGTAATGCAGCTCCTCCCCAGATGAAAGTGGGGAAAACCTTTTTTGGTGTTACTCTAGCTGTAGTGCACCTAGACTGCAGTGCAACACTGCTGAATCTGATTAGTATGGTAGCCCAGTGGTGCCTGCCTGCCGCAGTTCTCTCTCGCACTTCTATCTACGCCACTCCACTGTGGTTGAGCTGTGATCTACTAATCACTTTCATCCATCCCTCCATCCCCTCCTCCCTTTCATCCATCCCTCCATCCCCTCCTCCCTTTCATCCATCCCTCCATCCCCACCTCCCTCTGCTGAGGGAAGAGAAGATATATTCCCCTCCTCACAGAGACTGACAGACATTCACAATCTGGAGCCTTTCATTTACAGCAGCAAGACTTCTACAGCGCATTGTATGGAGTCACTCTTTTGTTCCATGCACAGGAGGACCTGTCATGTTCTATACGGTAGGCTGACGGTGCTACTAAAGTAGCTCTGTGGAGTACAGCGCTGTACCATCATGACCACCTTTGAAATGTCTTTAGTGTCTCCCAATAACACAAGTGTGGCCAATATTCTTAATATACACTACATGACCAAAAGTATGGGGACACCTGCTCGTCGAACATCTCATTCCAAAATCATGGGCATTAATATGGAGTTGGTCCCCCCTTTGCTGTTATAACAGCCTCCACTCTTCTGGGAAGGGTTTCCACTATATATATATATATATATATATATATATATATATATATAATATGCCATTTAGCAGACGCTTTTATCCAAAGCGACTTACAGTCATGCGTGCATACATTTTTGTCTATGGGTGGATGTTGGAACATTGCTGCGGGGACTTGCATCCATTCAGCCACAACCGCATTAGTGAGGTCGGGCACTGATGTTGGGCGATTAGGCCTGGCTCGCAGTCGGCTTTCCGATTAATCTCAAAGGTGTTCGATGGGGTTGAGGTCAGGGCTCTGTGCAGGCCAGTCAAGTTCTTCCACACTGATCTCGACAAACCATTTCTGTATGGACATTGCTTTGTGCACGGGGGCATTGTCATGCTGAAACAGGAAAGGGCCTTCCCCAAACTGTTGCCACAAAGTTGGATGCACAGAATCGTCTAGAATGTAATTGTATGCTGTAGCGTTAAGATTTTCCTTCACTGGAACTAAGGGGCCTAGCCGGACCCATGAAAAACAGCCCCAGACCGTTATTCCTCCTCCACCAAACTTTACAGTTGGCACTATACATTGGGGCATGTAGCGTTCTCCTGGCATCCTCCAAACCCAAATTCATCCGTTGGACTGCCAGATGGTGAACGCATTTCCACTGCTGCAGAGTCTAATGGCGGCAAGCTTTACACCACTCCAGCCGACGCTTGGCATTGCGCATTGTGATCTTAGGCTTGTGTGCTGCTGCTCGGCCATGGAAACCCATTTCATGAAGCTCCCAACGAACAGTTATTGCGCTGACGTTGCTTCTAGAGGCAGTTTGGAACTCGGTAGTGAGTGTACCGATGATTTGTACGTTCTTCAGCACTCAGCGGTCCCGTGCTGTGAGCTTGTGTAGCCTACCACTTCGCAGCTGAGCTGTTGTTGCTTCTAGACGTTTCCACTTCACAATAACAGCACTTACAGTTGACCGGGGCAGCTCTAGCAGGGCAGACATTTGATGAACTGACTTGTTGAAAAGGTGGCATCCTATGACGGTGCCACGTTGAAAGTCACTGAGATCTTCAGTAAGGCCATTCTACTGCCAATGTTTGTCTATGGGGATTGCATGGCTGTGTGCTCGATTTTATACACCTGTCAGCAACGGGTGTGGCTGAAATAGCCGAATCCACTAATTTGAACGGGTTCTACATACTTTTGTATACATAGTGTATGCCATTTAGCAGACACTTTTATCCAAAGCAACTTAGTCGTGTGCATACATTTTCGTATGGGTGGCCCCAGCGAGATAGCAGCCAGTGTTTAAGGAATAGTGACAGTAATCACTGTGAATTGATGTATAAATGTAAATTCTCTCCAGTCACATCATCTATTTCTGCTTCCATAATAAGCTCAGCTACAGAAGAGGTCCCCCTCCTGAAGTGTAGTTAAACTCTGAGAGAATAATAACACACTCCAAGTATATGGAATCACAGTATGGCAATGAGGGGGTTAAAGAAAGAATATACTATTTACAGTATGTGGGTGTGAGAGATGAAAGCAGAGGGTTTTTTCTGTGACTGGGGAGAGAGGGGGTCCTTCCTCGGCCATGACAAGATAAGCTAGTGAATAATGGTTACTGTAAAACTGTGGATCCCCTCTGATGATTGTCAGTGAGCTGTCACGATGCTAGAGATGATCTGAAGATCATATTAGATATGCACTGTGCTGCAGGGTCATATGTGCATCTCAGTGGCAGTTGAGCATCATCTTGGTAAAAACATGGGCTTCGGTTCAGAGACTGCAGAATGGTTCTTTGATGTCCAGATCAGTCACTTCTCTGAAGGTCTGTGTGCCAGACATACCATCACCATGTGTCCCTTCAGGGCCATCACCACACACACACACGCACAGGCCACACAGCTGAGGTATGAAATGTTTGTGTGTGTGTTTTTAGGGCGATCCTTTGTGCGCGGTCTCAGTATTTCCGAGCTATGCTGTGTGGGAGTTGGATGGAGAGCTCCAGACAATGCATCACTCTACAGGGGTAGGTTCTGACACACATACATACATACATACATACATACATACATACATACATACATACATACATACATACATACATACATACATACAGTTGAAGTCGGAAGTGTACATACACTTAGGTTGGAGTCATTAAAAGTTGTTTATCAACCACTCCACAAATTTCTTGTTAACAAACTATAGTTTTGGCAAGTCAGTTAGGACATCTACTTGGTGCATGACACAAGTAATTTTTCCAACAATTCTTTACAGCCAGATTATTTCACTTATAATTCACTGTATCGCAATTCCAGTGGGTCAGAAGTTTACATACACTAAATTGACTGTGCCTTTAAACAGCTTGGAAAATTCCAGAAAATGATGTCATGGCTTTAGAAGCTTCTGAAAGGCTAATTGACATCATTTGAGTCAATTGGAGGTGTACCTGTGGATGTATTTGAAGGCCTACCTTCAAACTCAGTGCCTCTTTGCTTAACATCATGGGAAAATCAAAATACATCAGCCAAGACCTCATAAAAAAAATTGTAGACCTCCACAAATCTGGTTCATCCTTGGGAGCAATTTCCAAATGCCTGAAGGTACCACGTTCATCTGTACAAACAATAGTACGCAAGTTTAAACACCATGGGACCACGCAGCCTTCATACTGCTCAGGAAGGAGACGCGTTCCGTCTCCTAGAGATGAACGTACTTTGGTGCGAAAAGTGCAAATCAATCCCAGAACAACAGCAAAGGACCTTGTGAAGATGCTGGAGGAAACAGGTACAAAAGTATCTATATCCACAGTAAAACGAGTCCTATATCGACATAACCTGAAAGGCCGCTCAGCAAGGAAGAAGCCACTGCTCCAAAACCGCCATAAAAAAGCCAGACTACGGTTTGCAACTGCACATGGGGACAAAGATCGTACTTTTTGGAGAAATGTCCTCTGGTCTGATGAAACAAAAATAGAACTGTTTGGCCATAATGACCATCGTTATGTTTGGAGGAAGAAGGGGGTTACTTGCAAGCCGAAGAACACCATCCCAACCGTGAAGCACGGGGGTGGCAGCATCATGCTGTGGGGACTGGTGCAATTCACAAAATAGATGGCATCATGAGGAAGGAAAATTATGTGGATATATTGAAGCAACATCTCAAGACATCAGTCAGGAAGTTAAATCTTGGTCGCAAATGGGTCTTCCAAATTGACAATGACCCCAAGCATACTTCCGTAGTTGTGGCAAAATGGCTTAAGGACAACGAAGTCAAGGTATCGGAGTGGCCATCACAAAGCCCTGACCTCAATCCTATAGAACATTTGTGGGCAGAACTGAAAAAGCGTGTGCGAGCAAGGAGGCCTACAAACCTGACTCAGTTACACCAGCTCTGTCAGGAGGAATGGGCCAAAATTCACCCAACTTATTGTGGGAAGCTTGTGGAAGGCTACCAGAAACGTTTGACCCAAGTTAAACAATTTAAAGGCAATGCTACCAAATACTAATTGAGTGTATGTAAACTTCTGACCCACTAGGAATATGATTAAATAAATAAAAGCTTAAATAAATCATTCTCTCTACAATTATTCTGACATTTCACATTATTAAAATAAAGTGGTGATCCTAACTGACCTAAGACAGGGAGTTTTTACAAGGATTAAATGTCAGGAATTGTGAAAAACTGAGTTTAAATGTATTTGGCTAAAGTGTATGTAAACTTCCGACTTCAACTGTACATACATACTGGCCAAGGGATGGTTAGGTCCTTCTTCTTCTATAATGTCTATACATCTGTAATGTCTACGGCTGCGTCCCAAATTGTAGCATATTCCCTATATAGTGCGCTACTTTTGTCGAGTTGTGCACTATAAAATGAATAGGCTGACATTTGGGACGCAACATATACTTCCACTCTGGTGTAACAATAACAAGGCTCATTGTCTCCCAACAACAATGTGAGTCTGCTGCCTATGCTATACTGCATTAATAATTCATACTGTGGGTGCTGAGAATATTTTAGGCTATATCAGGCTGGCTCTTTATGGGGTTTCATACACACACAACAGGGTTAGGCTCAATTTGAATTAAAGGCAGTCCATTCAGGAAATTATTTGGATTTAACATTCAAAAATGTAAAAACGTTTTAAATAAATAGCTTTCACTTTATTGAGAAGTCATTCAATTTAATTTACATTTTTGTTTACTTCCTGAATTGACTGCCTTCAATTGGAATTGAGTCCAACCCTGACACACACACACAAACCGCTAACTACAGGCAGTTTTATTCCACTCACTCAGATAATTTCCAAACCAGGTCATCTACCCTTCTTTTTAAGTCCTCTCTACCCATGCTGTCAGAGCGGTGTGGCAGCAGAGACAAACGAGGCAGCACTCTCCTCAGGGGAGAGTAATGTCACTCGTCTCTGCCTGGCTGATCTGAGAGTAATTGGGGACGACACACTGTCACCATGCAGGATGGGTGTGCTGAAGCACTGTAGTGGGGGACTCTGGGGAAAATACCCCAAAGGCCTCAGTGACAATGTTTTAGTGCTGCTCTTCGCTTAGAATTGCATTTTATAAAAACATAATGTGGCTCAATAAATATATATTTTTTTATGTAACCATTATTTATAGTTTAGTAAGATAAAATCAGTTTTGCAAGAGAGACCTGTACAATTTGTACAAGCTTATAGCTTGAATAAAAAGCCTACAGCCATTACAGCACCCCAGATCAGAGGGTAGATTTGAAGTGGCATGATGGTTCTACTTTGCCTAGAGAGGTAACAAGTGTTTGTTGTGTTATTTCCAGTTTGGGTCCAGATGAGATGGAGATTCTCCTCCAGTTCATGTATGGTGCTATAATAGACCTGCCACCCAGAGCCAGTGCCAGGTATGTGCCTTAAAACATTTGAATTTGTATCCTATTTTTTCCAAAGTTTCAGCACACGTCTTCCAACATACTGTCAGTGCATTCAGAAAGTATTCAGACCCCTTCCCTTTTTTGACATTTTGTTACTTTACAGCCTTATTCTAAAATTGATTAAATATTATTTTTCTCTCATCAATCTACACACAATACCCCATAATGACAAAGTGAAAACAGTTTTTTTTGAGTTTTTTGCTAATTTATTAAAAATAAAAAACATACCTTATTTACATAAGTATTCAGACCCTTTGCTATGAGAAGACAAACTCTCTGATAATTGGCTGATTACTCCCAACCCGTAGGAATCCCCACGTATTTGACTACTTTTAAATGGTGGAAACCCTTAATGTCTATACCAAAATTAGGTATTTCCATCTAGAGTCCTCTATCTCTATGATTGACACTTGACACGGAAACGCCTGTTATTTTGCCTATATAATATAGGTAACGTGATAATTTAAACATCTAACAACATCATTAATTAGATGCATAAATTATTGATGCGATCAACATTGAACATTTTACTGAGAACAATACAGATTATATTTCTCTAAATTAAATTGAAAGGTTTTGAAAATCCGGTGAAAAATAATGTTTTTACTATTTTGTTTATTTGGCATGAAAATAACTTTTTTTTTTTTATGAATCTGTAATCGAAGGTTATTCAAAAAATGTCATTACTGTGCATTGTTCTACCTTTTATTGGAATTTGTTCCACTATGTTTCAATAGTGATACATTTAGTGGGGTGGTAAAGAATTTAGTTAAATATTCAATACAATCAAAGTGTGTAAGAAGTATACAGGGCATTCGGAAAGGATTCAGACACCTTGACTTTTTCCACATTTTGTTACGTTACAGCCTTATTCTAAAATTGATTAAATCGTTTTTTCCCCCTCATCAATCTACACACATAATGACAAAGCAAAAGCAGGTTTTTCTACATTTTTGAAAATATCACATTTACAGAAGTATTCAGACCCTTTACTCAGTTTGTTCAAGCACCTTTGGCAGCGATTACAGTCTCAAGTCTTCTTTAGTATGACTCTACAAGCTTGGCACACCTGTATTTGGGGAGTTTCTCCCATTCTTCTCTGCAGATCCACTCAAGCTCTGTCAGGTTGGATGGGGAGCGTCGCTGCACAGCTATTTTCAGTTCTCTCCAGAGATGTTCGTTCGGGTTCAAGTCCGGGCTCTGGCTGGGCCACTCAAGGACATTAAGAGACTTGTCCCAAAGCCACTCCTGCATTGTCTTGGCTGTGTGCTTAGGGTCGTTGTCCTGTTGGAAGGTGATCCTTCGCCCCCAGTCGGAGGTCCTGAGCGCTCTGGAGCAGGTTTTCGTCAAGGATCTCTCTGTACTTTGCTCCGTTCATCTTTCCCTCCATCCTGACTAGTCTCCCAGTCCCTGCCGCTGAAACACATCCCCACAGCATGATGCTGCCACCACAATGCTTCACCGTAGGGATGGTGCAAGGTTTCCTCCAGATGTGACGCTTGGCATTCAGGCCAAAGTGTTCAATCTTGGTTTCATCAGACCAGAGAATCTTGTTTCTCATGGTCTGAGAGTCCTTTAGGTGCCTTTTGGCAAACGCCAAGCGGGCTGTCGTGTGCTTTTTACTGAGGAGTGGCTTCCGTCTGGCCACTCTACCATAAACGCCTGATTGGTGGAGTGCTGCAGAGATGGTTGACCTTCTAGAAGGTTCTCCCATCTCCACAGAGGAACTCTAGAGCTCTGTCACAGTGACCATCGGGTTCTTGGTCACCTCCCATACCAAGGCCCTTCTCCCCCGATTGCTCAGTTTGGCCAGGCAGCCAGCTCTAGGAAGAGTCTTGGTGGTTCCAAACTTCTTCCATTTAAGAATGATGGTGGCCACTGTGTTCTTGGGGACCTTCAATGCTGTAGACATTTTTTGGTACCCTTCCCTAGATGTGGGACCTTATATAGACAGGTGTGTGCCTTTCCAAATCATGTCCAATCAATTGAATTTACCACAGGTGGACTCCAATCAAGTTGTAGAAACATCTCAAGGGTGATCAATGGAAACAGGATGCACCTGTAAATGTAATGTAAATGTAATTTTGAGTCTTATAGCAAAGGGTCTGAATACTTATGTAAATAAGGTATTTCTGTTTAACATTTTAAATAAATAATCGAGCACACAGCCATGCAATCTCCATAGACAAACATTGGCAGTAGAATGGCCCGTACTGAAGAGCTCAGTGACTTTCAACGAGGCACCGTCATAGGATGCCACCTTTCCAAGAAGTCATTTCGTCAAATTTCTGCCCTTGGTAGCAGGAATATATAAATACTTATGGTAATATACTAATGTACATGTAAACAGGAGTAATAGTGACTAGTAGCAGGATAAATAGATAGATACTAATGGTAATGGCAATCAATAATCAATGAACTGCAGCGTAATGATAGAAATAAATCTAATCAATAATCATTTTAACTGCAGCAACCCAACCTCACCCTGCCCTCTCTCTGTTAGAACCACAACAACACTTCACCCAGCCATCTCTCCTGTCTCCCAGTCAGAAGCACAACCCAACCTCACCCTGCCCTCTCTCCCAGTTAGAACCACAACCCAACCTCACACAGCCCTCTCTCCCAGTCAGAACCACAACACCACCTCACACAGCTTTCTCTCCCAGTCAGAACCACAACACCACCTCACCTGTCCTTCTCCCCGCTCTCTACTCTCCCAGTCAGGTGGTGTTGGCAGCAGACATGTTGGGTCTGGAGGGACTGAAGGACGTGGTGGAGATGGTGCTGACCAGAGACTACTGCCGCTTCTTCCCCAAGGTAGGTTACTGAATATGAGGGAAAACGTCTGTCGTGTTGGTTTGGCAGGCCGATTTGGCCGATTTGACTGGCTTGTTTTTGTCTTAATGTCTTACAGCAGTATTGTGTGATGCACCAAACACACACACACACACAAAAAATAGTAATACGGCACCCCTGGAGCAAATTAGGGTTAAGTGCCTTGCTCAAAGACACCGACAGATTTGTTCAGTTACTGGCCCAACGCTCTAACCGCTTGGCTACCTGCCGCCCACACACACACACACACACACACACACACACACACACACACAATAACAGTTTTTTCTTTCTATTTTTACATGGCTCTCTTGTGGAGTGTTTTTGCTCTTCCTACCATTGCAGTGCTTCTCTGATCTGCCCTAGCTTGGTCCCAGATCTGTTTATGCTCTCTTGCCAACTTCATAGGAGTTGCCTATACAGCTAAAACAGATCTGGGACCTAGATCAGTGCTATATCTTCAGAGAGATCCCTGTAGTGTCATACCAGTCTGCGTCAGGAGGAAAGCCATCGGTATGAACAGATTTAGCTGCTCAAAACAAAAGACAGAACAGCCTTCTGTGCTGTTTTGGTACCTTGGCTGCCTGTCTGGTCTGTTTTGTACTTTGCGGGCATCCCTGCACCCTTAAAACAATGTCCCGCTGTGTTCCGGTTCTCTGAACAGCCTCTGTTTCATCACTCCTACCTCATCATGTGCCAGATACAGTTCATATGGCGTGTTCTGTTCTGCCCCCTGCGACAGGCAGCTTCGCTTCACCCCGCAGCAGGCACAGAGAGAACTCTCCTTTTATCTATTTTCACTCCAATTACAAAACAATATTCCTGTGACCAGTGTAAGAAATTACTAATCTGTGTGTCAACTGCAAACAGTATAAAGATGTTTTTTAAACTAGTTTAATAAGGCTTTTATTCAAGATCCTTTACTTGCAAGTACCCTATAATGTCCAGTTGAAAAGACGGTCTATCATTAAAAGTCCTGCCACTTAGACATGTTTGTTATCTCCTCTTTTATTCTAACTGCAGCCTATAGATGGGGTTCAGAAAACCGTCCTTGAGTGCCTCTCCCTCACCCATACCCTTGGTCTCCAGAGCCTCCACAGTTTGTGTATGAGGTGAGTGTGTATAGAGCATTTTAGAGTTTATTTCTATGGGACATTACATTTTAGTAAGGACTGTTTGGGGTTTGTTCTCAGTTTGACAGATTTTATCGACATGGTTGGGGTCAATTCCATTGCAATTCAGTCACTTCAGGAAGTAAACTGAATGGAAAACTAATGGAATTGACCCCAAGCCTGTTTATCACCTTCAACATTCTATGTAGTTGTGTAAGAAGGGTTTGCCTTAATCTGCATCATCCAGAGCACAATAGATGTGAGGATGGAGGAATGTGTAAGTGTTACTCAACAGGGTCAACATAAGGTCACCATGTTGCCCTATGTTATGTAGGTCACTAGCTATGTAATAGCTGTCCAAAAGTCTCTGAGAACGTAACTTAAATTGCACTAATACCAGAAACAGAGTCACCCCACTGGCAGTGGTATGAATAGCTATGGCCTTGATAGTGTTTCAATCTGGTCATTCAGGGCTAACTCTAACTTCACCATCTGTGTGTGGATTCCATCTGGCAGTAAGATACAAACATAACAAAACAACTAAAACGTGGTGCGTGGGCCGGGCTGTGCTGCCTGCCTTCTGCTCCGCTGAGGGGAAGCTTTTGATGAGTCGTGTGTGTGTGTGTGTGTTAGGGGTGTGACGCTTTAAACGAATTTGGGAGCGTTAGCGTTTTTAAAAAAATCCCTAACTGAATCTCTTTATTTTATTTTTTTTAAATCACAGCGCAGCTATCACAAAACAACCATTAATAGGTCCCAATCATCAACAAAAAGGCCAAACTGTCATACACGTTGATCCAGAGCATCCCAAACATGCTCAATGGGTGACGTATCTGGTGAATATGCAGGCCATGGAAGAACTGGGACATTTTCAGCTTCCAGGAATTGTGTACAGATCCTTGCAACATGGGGCTGTGCATTATAATGTTCAAACATGAGATGATGGCGGCGGATGAATGTCACGACAATGGGACTCAGGATCTCGTCACGGTATAAAGCGCTCCGCACGTCATCGTTGTTAAGTTGGAAAAAGGGCTGAGTAAGACTTGGAAGCGATAGCAGCTAAGTCCTGTATGGCAATACTTTGAGAAGTTAAATAAGAACGTGATGGAATGCACATTTTGCGAGGTGGAATTGAGCTAAAGTGGCAGTACAGGTGCAATGCAAAAAAAGCGGCACTGTGAAACCCAAACCATTGCTGGCAGCAGTGCGATAAGGGACAGAGGTGAGAGAACCACAGCGCTGATTACAGAAATGGTTGCAGTTGGCATGCAGCTATTGCCAATGGTATAGGATGTCGGCTTCAATGCTCTGATGGCATATCTAGAACCAGACTACAAGATGCCATGTCAAAAAAACTGTGACGGCCCGGATGGAGAAATTGTACAAAACCATACGTGGCATTAACAACAGATTGTTGGATGTCTATAAACATGTGGACATGCATCACTGCAACGAGCCATCACATTGATGAGAAGTGGAACATGAAGTACGTACAGACAACAGAGAACATGGAGGAGAAGCACACAACAGAGAACCTAAAACGCCATTAATACTATTGTTGCTGAGTGGGTGGGGAACAGCAGTAAGGTGAGTGCTGTCTGTTAGGGTATCCACAAGTTATCACAGCCACAAAGTCAAAATTGGCTATGTTGTAAAATTTCATGAAAACAAACATAATCTTTTTGGTCTTAATTTAAGGTTGGCATAAGGTTAGCAGTGTAGTTAAGGTTATGGTTATTGTTAGGGTTAGTAAGAGTGTCTGCTAAATTACTAAAATGTAAATGTAAATAGGCTAGCTTTATGACTTTGTGGCTGTAGTAACTAGTGACGACCGGTAGGTACGTAGCCAGGACTGCGGTAGATTGAACTGCATTGCCCCCTAGCAGTCATATGCAGAACCATATCTGGGTTGTGAATTCATGTCATTTTATGATTTAAAAAAAATAGCAGATCCCTTGAGTGTGTGATAGTAATGCGAGCTGAACTGAGCTTACAGCCCAGTGGTGCTGCGATTTGCATCCCTCAGGCCTCGGGAGCTAGCCAACCATCTCTGGCCACAGTACCCTGAGGGCCTCGGGCTGGGACTGAGAAAATGGGACTGAGCAGCTGAGATGGCACATCATTCCGTTTCACTCCATTTTAGCAACGACAGTGGATCTCATCACTTCTCTCAGTGCCACTGCCTTAACTAAAAGTTGTTTCCTAGTGTGCGTCTCAAATGGCACTCTATTCCCGATAGTGCACTACTATGGGCCCTGTTCAAAAGAAGTGCACTATAAAGGGAATAGGATGCAGCCATACAATGCCGGGGAATTTGGGGCAGCAGGATTTGATATGTAATTGGGAGCTGTGCCATGTCTTTGGACACTTCTGGCTGCAGTTCCTTCCTAGCACCAGGACCAGTGAGGTTAATGAATGTGGCTGAGTCCCAAATGGCATTCGATTTGCTATATAGTGCACTATGGGCTCTGGTTCAAAAGTAGTGCACTATAGGGAATAACGTGCCATTTGGGACTCTGCCTGTGTCTTGTATAGAGTTTGGCAGCTGTGTAAGTGGTTTGGGTCACGGACCTGACCTGTTTTACTGATGTAAATCACATGCTCTCTCACTGAGTCCCACAGTCTCATTAATCCCCAGTCACTCAGACCTTCAGCACACAGTCACACACTGAACGTCATCACACACAGTGCACAGTCATGCTGAGCCTTGCTGGATACTCAGTGGATGGTTACTGTATATCAATGGTTTAGCGAGTGCCTAGGCTTGGTCTTGTGGTTAGGGCAGCTGCTCACAGCACATGGACAATCCCCTGCCTGTGTGGGATCAAATCCCTGCCCCACCCAACTCAATATTTTCTCTCCTTCGTTCATACCTGTCTCTATAAAAACACAATTTAAAAGGTGCTTAACAAGCAATAAGTCTGCAGCAGTGGAATGTGTACTGAAGTGACATGCTCTCTAACACTCGTTTGTACTGTGTGTTTCAGGTGGGTGGCTGAGCACTATGTGAAGAGCTGGTCAGAGAGAAACTTTGCCCTGTTGCCTTGTGAGGTCCAGAGAGCCTGTCTAAATGCTGTGACTGGAGCCATGGTGGGTTTCACACATGTACACACACACACACACACACACCAACTTCCTCAACTCAATTTTCATGATGTTTCCCCACTGGAAGTCAATCCAAACATAATCAGCTGAGCGGGATCATCTTTATTAAATAACAGTCCTTTATGGCAGGCGTGTTCAGGAGGGCAGTATGGATACAGACAGATGTTGCAGGGTAATCAGGTCTGGTAATCGAGTGAGTGGCTCCATCCCGATTCCCGACCCTTCTCCCGAAATGTGTACTTGCACACATGGATTTAAAAGCATTGGATTTGTCTAGTTTTGGCTGGAGGGAGTTTCCACCATTGTTAAGTCCATGACAGGGAGTGTGCAAGTGCACAAAAGGGTAGAGAATTGGAACACAGCCAGTGTCTTTCCCTCCTGCTGTCTAGCTGCCTCCCCTGGGTACACCACTCTGGAGCTAAGCCTCCTACTACCACTGCTGTTCAGGAGGGCCTGCCTGCTGCCAAAATGTGTTGCATAATTTGGGTTTCCCCCTGCATCGATAGCCAAGTGCAGGGTCGGAAGGAACAGCAGTGGTGTACACAGTCCATTTGATCAAATATGTAAATGTCTTGACAACTGTTAGACTGTAAACATGTTTTATTGTCCATAATATAATTATGAAGCTGAATCGTGAATTCTGAATGACGAGTTAGTGTTTCACGAACTATGTTGTATGTGTTGAGAAATGGCTCTACAAAAACAGGTCACATAAGAGCCGTAATAACTTATTCCACAGACTGTGAATGATGATTTATGAGGTAGTTGGTGAAACCCTTTGTATGTGTGTATGTGGTTGTATGTGTTGTGAGAAAGAGAAGTACTGAGTAAGAAAAAGGGCTCTAAAATATGAGATCATATGAGCTGTAACAAACATTATTTCCGAGACTGTGTGGTTGTTAGGGGGAAGGTGCATGCTTACTTCCCACCTGCTTGCAACCCTCCCGCTTACAGCTCGCTGCTGCTGGCTAGCCCTTGTGGTAAACCGGGAAGCAGCTCTGTGCGTAAGCCTTCTCTTGCCAGTACACAGCCTCTCCTTCACCAAGACACCTGCCAGGCCTCCTCGTGGCAACGCACAGTAACTGGGTGTCTCTGCAGCTCCAGGCTAACTCGGCAGGGGATCTCAGAGCTGCCGTGATCCCCAGAGGTGCGGTGTGCAGGCCCATGTTATCTGGACACGCCCTGGCATCGGCCAACCACTGTCCCGCTGCCTGTGGGTAAGTCTGGCAAAGGCTAGGGGAGCTCACCCTGAGAGAAAAGCATCATGCTGGCGGCGCACGACAGGCAGTCCTCCATAAAACTGGAGCTCTGGTAGCCTCCTGCAACTGTGAAAGGGTTTCCCCCTTGCCATTGGATTCCACCCTCTGACATTGAAGAAGTGCTTTTGGGACATGCGCACCCCCGTCGGCACTCTAACCTCTCTGCACAAGTATCCACCTCTGCCTTGCTGGGGGTGTGTGTGTGTGTGTGTGTTGTGAGGTAGAGAGAAAGAGCTGTAATAAAAATAGTTCCCCAGAGTAATGTTCCATCCAGACTGTACAGAGCGCCGTGATCCTGCTGGGTGTGTTGTGATGTGAAGGAGAGAAATACAGAAGTCTCTCAAATAAGACATAACAGTTCATAATCGTGTTCTATCCAGACTGTACAGAACACGGTGACTCTGCTGTGTGGCAGTGAGCAGTTGCTGGGCAGTCTCCCGGAGGTCAAGTGGGCTAAACAGACAGTGGTGCTGGTTACAGAGCTGCAGGACCAGTGTCTGTCTGCCATTGTCACACACCTGGCCCAGGTCACACACACGCAGGCCTTCCACAGCCTACAACGGGTAAGGGAAGAAACACGCATGACAGAGACGGGACATGTGATGGATACACACACCTACACACAACACACACACACACACACAGAGACGCACAGCCAATTATAAACGGATTTATTTGATCAGTTGTAGATGGTCCATTTTTACTTAATAAATGAGGCTAATGTTATGCATAACTTCATAGTAAACATCCTGCTGGATGCTGAGGCAGTACTAGATGTTCTAGATGCAGAGTCACAGTCCAAGAGGTTTGCACTTGTATCATTGGTGTCTGCATACATAATATAAATGTTCTATTTCATTCTGTGGGTGTCTGTCCTCAATGTGCCAACTCACTGTGTCTGACTCTGCCCTGATTGGAATACACATTACACTCCCAATCATTCCACCCTGTTATCACAGACACAGAGCTATACAGCTGTGTTGGCGACGAGTTTCCTAAAGGATTATCCTCATCAGCCTCTGAAATTAGTCTGATTTAGTTCATGTATTGGCATGGGAGTCTGAGATGTAATTATAATCCATCCTAATGTGTTTGAGCTGTGTAGTGGTCAGTGTACTACAGCGTAGTAATTGTTCTGTACTACAGTGAAATAACCATTTGGTTGTAGCAAGGGGTTTCTCAGGGTCTTTTGTGGGGGTTTTCAGATTCATCCATCTTGGGTTTCTCAACCTCCCTTTCACATACATTTTGTAATATTTTATATGCTGTACTTTTTACTGTGTGCTAGAAAATCAAATCAAATGTGTGTTTGTTTTTAGAGAGAGGAGTCGACGCGGGAGCCGGCCCTGTTGAAGAAGCTTTGTTCAGCCATTCGGGACGGGGTCACGGTAGATAACTGTTGTGACCTGTTCACTGCTGTGGATCACCTGGCTGGGGAGGAAGACATGGAAGGAGAGACCACACTGGAGGAGGGGGGTCAGAGGGAGGAGGTGAATACAAGTACTCACATTCACTCACTCAGTCCCCCATACCAAAATCAAGTTATTCTGATTTTGCCTTTTTTATTATTTGATGACAAAGCATGACAAGGGTTTTCTTCCATTTTAAAGGATAATGGTGAAATGACACAGAAAACAGAAAGAGCTGTGAAGGGTGAACATTAAAACATTCCCTGCTATGCTCTCTGCCTCTCTCTTCCCTCTTTCACACACACATTGGGTAAAAGGTAATGATTCACAGTTCCAGAGCCCCATTATTCCTGTGTAATTACTCCCAGGGTAGTGTGACACAGCTGAAGGCTGCAGGCTATAGAGGCCTGGCTGGGTTAGAGCTGCAGGCAGGGTTAGGCTGGCTGGGTTAAGTCACGCGTCCTTACGCAGAATATGGCAGGATGGATTAGAGTTGGAAAGAGGGAGGGAAAGCATGATGAGACATGGGAGTGGCCTTCTCTAATCTGCCTTTGTGTTGTGGCCAGTAGTCAGAGGGCGTGAGAGCCAGGAAGGGAGAGAGGGTGGGTGTGTAAGACAGGGGAGTGTGTGTGTGTGAGGGAGGGAGGGAGGGAGAGAGAGAGAGAGAGAGAGGACTGAAGGGAGGGAGGGTTTGTGCGCGAGAGGAAGCTTCTCCTCACCCCACAGGAAGAGGAGGCGGGAGCACGGCAGCAGCCTCAGCTGATGACATCATCCATTTAGCTCAAGGGAGCTCAAGTGGATTCTGCAAGAAGGAGAGAGGGGGGTGATTGTTACCATGGTGATGGGTACTTTAAGCAGCTGCTGATTCGCTCGTGCTCTCTCTCTTTTCCCCCTCCCTCTCTTCCTCCTCCTCCCTCCCCTCTCTCCTTTCCTCTCTCAACCAGCCGTTCAGGCGAGAGGTTGGTGCGCTGCGCGCTAGGCTGTGGACCTTCCTGCTCCAGTCATTCTACGCCGTCCGCCACACGCGGGGATGGGAGACCCTGCCCTCCAAGCACAGAGAGAGGATACTGGCAGGTAGGAGAAGGGAAAACGGACATATTTAATCTATGAGGCTTTAGCTGTAGCTGGGAGGAGATCTGATCTGTCCCTCACTGCATAGGAGAGCCAGAGCTCTCTTCCTCTCAGCTCAGATGGGATATTATGCAGGCTGCAGGGTGTGTTTGTTTGTTATATTCAACCCAACAACATAGTGATGGTAGCCTGGTCCCAGATCTGTTTAGTCTGTTTGATCTCGTTTGGCGTGACAATGACCATAGGAGATGGTCAGAGACAGCACAAACAGACCTGGAACCAGGCTTCAGTGATAAAGCACAGGGTCTGTCTCTGTATCGTTAGAGAGGAAGGAACCAAAGCCCCTGAAGCATATGTTACTGCTGTTGCCGCTGCCTCTGGGTAACATCACACAATTAATGGTGGCTTTCAGCACAGCTGCAGAACAGAACAGAGCACACACAGCCACGACCTGGAGGTCCAGCTATTGTTTGAGCGAGGAGGGGGCCGCCTCGGTCTCTCTCACTCCATTTTCAGCCAATCTTAATCAAGGCTAACATGCTAACTGCATCATACTCTGCATGTTCTGTTCTGTATTGTAAAAAAGGGGTGGGGGTGGATCGTTGAATTCCTCTCTCTTTGTGGATTTTACACATAAATAGATGCATTCTCTGAGAAACTAATAAGGTACTGCTTTGTTTTGACTGTTTAGCTTTGTGATCCATTGAAATGCATTGCATTAATTATTTATTGGACTTAGTTTTAGAATTCCACTGACATTCCATACTGATGGAATCTCCCTCTCTGTCTCTCACATAGACACACTAGTTTACACACGCATGCACATACACACAGCAAGGCACATAGAATATGCATATGCATACCCGGTAGTTGCATACAGTAATGTAGTCACACACGTCACATCATACACACCCACCACAGACATACACACACTTGGCTACATTCCAGTGCAGCAGTTTGGTCTTGATTTGGAGCATCTCTGGGGAAATGGAAGGATAAGCTGTACGAATTGTTTCACCCACTGTATCTCATTTAAATAAAAATCAGGAAGGTGGAATAGCCACGTTGCAGTATCAGTCTCTTCAATGGACACGTCTTGGATTTGATATTTCAGGGACATTGGTATATTTCACATGGAAAATATCCATCATCAAATTGTATGCTCTTTGTGTCGAGAATGCAAAGACACAACCATGTCAATGCACCTCAAAATATGTTTGTGGTGACGTGTTTTATGAATGAGTATGGTACCTTGAAGGTTTTTGAATGTAATGGTAATTTAAACATGTTTTTAAATATCTGAACTATGTATTTTCCTCTCCTATAGCTGCTCTTGATAAAGGAGACAGTAGAAGACTTGGGAAAAAGCCTGTTTTTACCAGCTCACAGGTAATGTATGATAAAAGCTTATTTATTCTTTCATTTAAAAGCAATTGTTTTATTCCTCTTTTGTATTGTTACATCACTTAGTTGGGTGATATGAACCCATCTATAACACGGAGAATCCTGTGTAATGATTATGATATGTGGTTGTGATACCTACTTTAGTTGAATGCACAAATTATACTCTGGATAAGAGCATCTACAGTATGTGCTAAATGACTAAAATGTGAATGTAATGGTGTGATTATGATCTAGGAGGGTGGATTTTGGCTTTTAAAAAACCTGTAATCACTGCACACGTCACAGAGATGTGAATGGTGGAAACCCTAGAGCCAGCCTCTCACACACACACACACACACACTGAAGGCGACACGGTGAGAGGAGGGTCGCCCATGTGTGTGACGTGAGTGGCTGAGAGGGGCCCCGCCAACAGCAACCTGACAGATATTGACAGGAAGTGCTGTGATGCGGAGCAGGCGCCTGGAAGGAAGTTTCTCTCCGCCTGTCTGTGTCCCAAATGGCACCCTATTTCCTATATAGTGCACTACTTTGGTCCAAAGTAGTGCACTATATAGGAAATAGGGTGCCGTTTGGGATGCTGTACAGCTGTCGCTCTGCTCTGCTGACCCCAACACACGGCTGCTGACGGCTGTCATTTCATAATTGACACAGAAAGCAATTACCTTTCAGCCCCTCAGAGTGATAAATACATAGACCTTGTGTCTTCTCAGACTGATTAACAGTAACACAAGGCAGAGAGAACCTGGAAGGATGTGATGAGGGCCGGGGTTGCTTTTGTTTTACAAGCCTGACTATACTGTACAGCTCAGTAGCTTGCAGGCATCCTCACCAGTATTATTCAATTCTATTAAATGTAATTTCATTTGAGTAATTTAGCAGAAGCTCTTATCGCGATCAACTTAGTCATTCAGTCCATTGATTCAACTAATGTAGGTTAACAACAACCTATCACGATCATTACAAGTAAAACCTTAGCCGGGATCTGCAAAATCTGTGCTAATCAGTTTCTAGATTGCATGTTAATTCCATGTTAGGTCGGACTTCCTTCTTCCCGGTCTTTAGCTGTTAAATCGAGTCCGTAGACGACTACGCCATTATTTTAAATGATGTTGTGTGATCTGAACTTTTCCATTCAAACAACTCTCTTCTATTTTTAGCAACCAAGGGGTGTAAGATGCGCCTCAGGTCCTGCAGCTCCGTGTGAGAGCCCTCCTGTCCACAGGACCAATCGGGTCGTCAGGAACACAGGAACAGGAAGTTGCATTACGGCTGCATCATCAGCCACCATGAAGTCGGACGGGCTGGGGACGCCAGTCCTCCCAGCCACCTCAGAGAGAGGGACTAACGCTACCAAGCCTGGAGACAGTGACCCATCCAGGGCAAAGAACGGCAAGACCAAGCAGCCAGGTGACCACCGGAGCACCACGGCTAAAGCCAAGACTACAATCTCCACCACAGCCAAACCAGTGCTCAACGGTACGGCTGGCCCAGGGGCGGCTAGGAAGGAAGTAGCCACTGCTAACGGATCCAGGGGCTCCCCAACGGGGGGTAAAGGGGCTAAGGACCAGGACAGGAGGCCTAACCCCGGAGCCAGGCCCAAGATCTCTCCTCCAGGCACCACCTCCACAGCTCAGGCTAGGCCAGGGAAGCTGCAGAAGAGTACAGCAGGGAAGGGTGACTATTTTCAGAGGGCAGACAGCAGCACAGCCCACCCTGCCACCACCACCCCCTCCACATCAGGCAGCGCCTCCCCTGACAACAGCTCCGGAAGCCCACGCAACAGCCACGTCATCCCAGGTCTGGTCTAACATTCAACGTTATTAACTTGCTTCCCAGTGGGCAAAACTGGTTGAAAATACGTCATAATGACATTGTAATGACGTTCAAGTTGTTTTGCCAGCTGGGTAACTGTAATTTCCAGGTCTAACATCCAATGTTATTAACTTGCCTCCCAGCTGGGAAATGGTTGAAAAGACATCATGATGATTTTGTAATTACGTTTTAATGACGTTGTGATAAAGTCATTCTAACCAGTTTTGCCAGCTGGGTTAATTCACTCATTCTTGTTCTTATGATGACAATAATTCTATTTTATGGCAGGAAGTTAGAGTATCTGAAAAATTAGCTTGACGCAGCAAGTTTTGTGGAGAATAAGTAGCAGACTGATTTACATGAGTTATGCTTTAGCCCTGAGGGGTTCTAGGGAGACGGAAGGGAATACATTGAAGTAGGAACACATTATATACAGTAGTGGTGTGCATGAATAGGAATCAAAAAGCACTCCTTTCTTTCATGCATATTAATCAGTTCAATGTAGCACCACAGAAATAAATATCCCTATGGGTACCACAGCCTGGTTGGCAACAGACACCCCAAAAAGCCGCAGAGCTGAAGGTCAAAACCACATAGCTCACACACAGGGGTGTGACCAATTATCCTAGCTCCCGTGGTGACTGTGTATGCTCGTTTGGAGAAGGAGGGGAGTTGTGTGGCGTGTAGACTGATAACAACGCCCTCTGTCTGTCTGGGGAACTGGGCCTCAGCCGGCCTGTCTCTCCTTTTCATACAAAAGAGAAGAAGAGAGAGTCAGAGTGCCATATGCTCTCCCTCCCCATCTCTCTATCCAAACCAGTCATCCCTATCCATCTACGCTACTCCAGCTCTATCCGTTTTATTGGCCCTGATTGTGCATTATTTTGGCTCTGATGTACAGGACTATTATCAGCTCCTAGCCTCTAGCTCGCACAATATTAATAAAAAAACACTAATTGTTTGTCAGATATTGACATCCCTGTTAGCTCTCCCTAAAATGGAATCATCGGTGTACTTTGTTTGAGAATTTTTTTTAGATTTTCCCCTCAAAACAATGTATTTTTATTGTTGCACTCTTCTTCCCCTCTAAGCTGTATAGCTAAATAAATCATATTCCTCCTCTTAATCCCCTCATTTTAAGTGAGCAGTTTTCATTTTCCAACAATAAATATCAGTGTTTTGGTTCAAGGTTAAAGCACGCTCTAACAATCCTGTGTTTTAGGTCTTAAGCCAAAAACACAGGCTAAAGTTCTGACCAAATCTCCACTGACGAAAACAGACACTGCAAAGACAAACAGGTAAGCATCATTGCACCCACAATCAGAATCTCCTACTTAGATAGATAGAAGACCATCCCTGGGAAATGGTAGAAAAAACTCTGCTGCCCCCCACTGTTATATATTGGTAGTTGCTAGTCCATTCAGAGACGGATGAAACAACAGTGCTTGGTTATGCTAAGGTCTTATGAGGTTTGAGCTTCCGTCCCTTAATGTTATCAAACCCTGTGATATTGTATCCATAATGTATTGATCGTTTGTTGTTATTGTCCTAAATTACAATATATACAGTACCAGTCCAAAGTTTGGACACGCCTACTCAATCAAGGGTTTTCTTTATTTTTACTATTTTTTACATTGTAGAATAATAGTGAAGACATCAAAACTATTAAATAACACATATGGAATCATGTAGTAACCAAAAAAGTTTTAAACAAATCAAAATATATTTTATATTTGAGATTCTTCAAATAGCCTTGATGGCAGCTTTGCACACGCTTGGCATTCTCTCAACCAGCTTCATGAGGTAGTCACCTGGAATGCATTTCAATTAACAGGTGTGCTTTCTTAAAAGTTCATTTGTGGAATTTATTTCCTTCTTAAGGCCTTTGAGCCAATCAGTTGTGTTGTGACAAGGTAGGGGGGGTATACAGAAGATAGCCCTATTTCGTAAAAGACCAAGTCCAAATTATGGCAAGAACAGCTAAAATAAACAAAGAGAAATGACAGTCCATCATTACTTTAAGACATGAAGGTCAGTTCATACGTTTCTTCAAGTGCAGTCGCAAAAACCATCAAGCGCTATGATGAAACTGGCTCTCGTGAGGACCGCCACAGGAATGTAAGACCCAGAGTTACCTCTGCTGCAGATGATAAGTTCATTAGAGTTACCAGTTTCAGAAATTGCAGCCCAAATAAATGCTTCACAGAGTTCAAGTCACAGACGCATCTCAACATCAACTGTTCAGAGGGGACTGTGTGAATCAGGCCTTCATGGTCGAATTGCTGCAAAGAAACCACTACTAAAGGACACCAATAATAAGAAGAGACCTGCTTGAGCCAAGACACACGAGCAATGGACATTAGACCGGTGGAAATGTGTCCTTTGGTCTGGAGTCCAAATTTGAGATTTTTGGTTCCAACCGCCTTGTCTTTATGAGACGCGGTGTGGGTGAATGGATGATCTCCGCATGTGTAGTTCCCACTGTAAAGCATGGAGGAGGAGGTGTTATGGTGTGGGTGTGCTTTTCTGGTGACACTGTCTATGATTTATTTAGAATTCAAGGCACACTTAACCAGAATGGCTACCACAGCATTCTGCAGCGATACACCATCCCATCTGGTTTGGGCTTAGTGGGACTTTGTTTTTCAACAGTACAATGACCCAACACACCTCCAGGCTGTGTAAGGGCTATTTGACCAAGAAGGAGAGTGATGGAGTGCTGCATCAGATGACCTGGCCTCCACAATCCCCCGACCTCAACCCAATTGGGATGGTTTGGGATGAGTCGGACCGCAGAGTGAAGGAAAAGCAGCCAACAAGTGCTCAGCATATGTGGGTAGTCCTTCAAGACTGTTGGAAAACCATTCCATGTGAAGCTGGTTTAGAGAAAGCCAAGAGTGTGCAAAGCTGCCATCAATGCAAAGGGTGGCTATTTGAAGAATCTCAAATATAAAATATATTTTGATTTGTTAAACACTTTTTTGGTTACTACATGAGTGTTATTTCATAGTTGTGACGTCTTCACTATTATTCTACAATGTAGAAAACAGTAAAAATAAAGAAAAACCCTTGAATGAGTAGGTGTGTCCAAACTTTTGACTGGTACTGTATATTTTTACAATTACTTTTACATTTTCTACTCTCTGGGGCTGTGTATCCTTTTGATTTGATTGTCTTTTTAATCTCCCTTATCAGCCTAACCAATAAGCCCAGCGCTAGAGAGGCCAATAAAGCCAAGCTTCACGCTGTAGGAAGAACAACGACTAGAGGAACAGGAGCCAGAGCAGACACAAAGGGAAGGAGCACACCAACAGGCTCTGCTGAGAACCATGGTGCGCACGTGTTTGTGCCAATACAAATCCTAACATCATCTCACTGTGGGCCAAATTATTGAAATATTCTTCCCTCTTCTCTTATGCAGTCTCTAGACCTGGGTCCTCCCTGAGTGCCAGAAAGCCTGCGTCTCCCAGGAAACAGGATGATAAGGATGGTTCCAAAGCCTCAGCAGACAAAGCCGCCAGGAAGACCGCAAAACCCACCCCAGCTACCGCAGCCAAATCTACTTCTAAACCAACAAAAGCCAGCTCTAGCTCCGCTCCTTCCAAACAGCCTCCGCTAGCAACGGCCAAACCTGGACCTAAGCAGAAAAGTACCTCGGAATCTCCTACAGAGAAAGCCTCCCCAATGTCAGCAGGGCCAGTTAAAAACTCTTACTCTGTCGTTTCTTCTAAAAAGGCTGCAGCTAAAGAGAAAGAAGGATCTAATGGTAAAACCTCCGTAGAGACCCAGCAGGCTAATGGCACGGGTGCTGGAGCAGAGAGGGTCTCCTCCCATTCAGATCCCAGAGAGGCGGCCTCCGAGCCAGCAGCAGCATCCACAGAGCAGACCCCGACTCATAACGGCACACTACCATCAGGCCCCAAGAGCCTCAGTGGAGGAGGGGACTCCCTCTCCTTACCCCTGAACACCAGCCCTAAGCAGAGTCCTCAGAAGTCTGCCAAACAACCAGGTAAACCTAACAGCACAGGAAGAGTCAGGGCTCTGTCCAGTCAGCCACCAGCAACCAACCACATCTCTCAAGGGAACGCCCTTATAAACGGAGAGCCTACTAAGCACACAGAGGGGACACACACAGGTAAACACACTCCTGGCTCAACCACAGATCTTCCCCTGGACACCCCGACCTCAGGCAGCCTGGGCAGCACAGATACCCCTCTGGAGGACTCGTGGAGCGGACTGCACCACCAGGTCAGCCCTGAGTCAGAGTCCGGCAGCGCCACCACCTCCTCAGACGACATCAAGCCCCGCTCTGAGGACTACGACGCCGGGGGCTCGCAGGACGACGTGGACGACTGCTGCTCCAACGACCGCGGCGGATCCAAGGGAGGCGGAACCATGCGTTGCCATGACTTCCTGGGCCGCAGTAGTAGTGACACGAGTACGCCTGAGGAGCTGAAGATGCTGGACGGCGGGCTGCGGGTCGAGGTGAGGCTGAAGGGGCGCGAGGTAGAGACCACCAGCGAGGAGGAAGGGGTGAGGCGACGGCCACGCTCCTGGCTGAGCAGGGACAGAGACGAGGTCCCTTTTGAGGAGGAGGTAGAGAAAGTGGAGGCCAATATTACAGTGAAGCAGGTCCCCGACAGCCAGCTCTTCTCCTCCGAGGAGTCGGAGGAGTCTGAGGAAGAGGAGGATGAGGACGAGAAGTCAGAGGTGGAGGTTCTTCCTTGTCATCATGCCCCTCCACCTCCCAATGACCCATCCCCACAGTACCAGGGCATTATCAACCTGGCCTTTGAGGATGGAGCTGACCCTGACCAGGACAACGAGCAGCAGCAGCCGGACTACCAGTCAGCCGCTAACTTCCGCCGCTCTGTTCTGATCTCTGTGGACGAGTGTGAGGAGCTGGGATCAGAGGAGGGCGGGGCGCAGACTCCACCCCAGCAACAGCCTGACGACCCCCTCACGCCATGCGAAGTCTTCGAGAGTGACCATCCTCCGGCCCCCAACTCCGTCTCTCACTCTGGGGAGCACCTGGCGTCTGACCTTCCCAAAAGCACACCTCAGCAGGAACAAGGTACCGAGCAGGAGTCCAACACCAAACCAATTGTTTTTTTCACTGAGATCCAGGATCCTCTGGTAGATTACCATAACCCCACCAAGGTGGAGGGATTAGAGCCCAGCCCTGGTTGCCCTCCCCTGGACTCTGACCTCAGTGACCTGCCTCCCCAGGAGCGGGAGAGACCCTGCCACCTGGACCTCCGGCCTGCTGAACAGTACAGCAACGGAGGGACACCACGCAGGAACCCCTCAACCAAGCCTAACCAAGCATCTGTACCTGCAGAGAGCAAGAGAGCAGACTTACATCTAGACTTAAATTACCCTCAGCAGACAGGGGAGTCTCCTGCACATGCAGCTATCCCACAATCCCCAGCAGGTAATGTATAAAAATCTACATTTAGGACCCCTCCTAATTTAAACCCTAAAACCAAACCCCTCACCCATTTTCCTTCCTCACCCAGCCAAACTCCATCAGTCAAGGCATAGTTAGTTAGTTCACCCATTGCAAGATACAATCTCCTCTGTCTCATATGATATGATGCTCGGACTACTCATTTGCATCATGAAACGTACACTTAGCAATCCCATTCCTCTCAAAAAGGATATTATGCAGATTACTTAACTAGTTCAAATTCAATGAGGGGATAATTTTTGTATATGCCCATATAGCTAAAAGCTTGCCATCATTACACAAAACATCTGTTTGTGTACCAGTCCATTGAATTTGAATTTGCAACACCAATTTAAAACATGGAGATTGGTAAATCATAAAACGTGCAGGAGTAGTTTAGCTATAATCAACATATAGCCTAATGATTAAACTAGCTTTTTTCAGAGGCATTCTAACCTTGACTACTCAGATTAAATATGTTAATTTCAATAAGAAAACTGATACTAAAATATTATGTTTGAGTCCCCAAATGGCACCCGATTCCCATTATAGTGCACTTCTTTTGACCAGGGCCCATGGGGCTCTGGTCAAAAGTAGTGCACTATGTAGGGAATAGGGTGCCATTTGGGATGCTTCCTTAGTGTCAAGTACTATGCCATGTGTTGGTTATAAGCCACCTTCCTTGTGACAAGGTGTGGTGGATTGACGTAGGCCTAGTTGTACCGATGCAATTTGATGTACATAAAAATGCAAATAGGCCTATTCGATGTTTATTTTATTGAATGTCATGAAATCCAACAGCTTCTGGTCTTTTTCAAGCCAATAAGATAATAGCTTATGATATTATTTATTGGGATTGATGTCTTTATAATTTGTGTTTTATGCAAAATACATGATTTTTACTACCAAATCAAATTACATAATAATATGGCCATTTGATTTAGAAGGTAAATCCAAAAAGATCTGTATTGTACTATGGACCACACTACTAAGCTGTCATGATGAGAAAGGTGTAGCCTATGTCATTCTACGTGTTACCTCCTACAGGGACCCTTATCTACCCAGGATCGGCTTGTTTTTGTTGTCAGCTGTTAGATCCTCCTAGCCTGTATGTGTTCCTCAGTCTGCTTATCTAGTAAAGACATCTGCATGCCAGTAATATAAACCATTTGTTGTCTGTCTTTTTATTTATTCCACCCAATATTTTTGTGTTTGTATTTTTTTAAACTCGTTTTACTCTGTAGTGCTGGTTTGGTTCAATAGACTTTGTGTGGTGCTGCCTTCTGTGTGTGGTGTGTCTAGAACAATCTTTATCTATGGTTCTGATATGTCTCTCTTTTTTCACTCATATTATACAGCAAATCCTTCCACTATTACTTCCTTAGGGGTTGCGTCTGAAATGGCACCCTATTCCCTATATAGTGCACTACTTTGTGCACTATATAGGGGACATGGTGGCATTTGGGACGCATACTAGTTAGGGGGTATCCCAGTGCAAAACATGTCAATCTTGTTTCTGCTATCAACATCAATAAGTGGTCAATTTTATTATATTTTGCCAGTATGGACCTCTTATTTAGTGATATTGAAGCAGTGTTTATGATAGAAAGAAACTGTATATAAAAACTAATGGGAAATGTTCGAGAAAACGAGTGATGTACGTACTTCCTTTTGTGCTACAAATTAAATCATTTCCGCCTGCAATTAGATTTGTATTACAGTATAATAATCATCTGTACAATACAAAAGGTCTGTTCATTAGTTACAGAGACCTGTACGGTTTACTTCTTCAAACATATCACTGGTGCCTGAGCAAACGGAGTTATGCAGAGTTAGGCTAACTAACCAGCGCTGGCAATGCAATGCATGGCTTACTGTGTTAATTACCGCTGGATAAAAGAGACACATCCAGACAACTACATCCCTCTGTGCTTCACCTTTAAGGCAGCTGTGCCTTCTCCCTGTCACCCACAGTCCAGGTCAGTGACTACTCGTGACTTATACATATGATATAATTGGACAGTATATCAACAATATCATATAATCCATTGGTCTGTAACATGAGTACCAATGCAATGGTTAAACGAGGGCTTCCCCCCTATCTCCTAGTAGAATAGAGGACAGGTCATTGCCTGATCCAGTCATTATTAAATGGTTAAGAGGACACAGTTGCATTAAGGGTGAAACTTTAGTAATCTAAATATTGGGATAAAAATGGAAAGAAGTGACCTGCAGAATGCCTGTGTAATGACTATGGACTTAAGGAAAACTGAATCGTTAAGTCATTGTGCAGTATTGTCAATTGTTTTTAGGGGACAATGAGGGACAATGTGACAGATTGGATCAAACAACAACCCCAACCTGTACACAAGACCGCCGTCCATCCAAAGCCCTCTCTCCCATCTACGAACTGGACGTGGGAGAAACCTTTGAGCACCTCTGCTCCTCGGACAACATCAAGGACAGGAGCACAGTGGGGCAGGAGGAGGAGAACGATGAAGGTTACAATGAGGAGAGCAGTAAGTTTGCGGAGCGTGACTGGAGCATGCTGAAACAACTCCTCTCAGACCAGGAGTCCAGTCTGGGCGTCATAAACCCAGTCCCTGAGGACCTGAACCTAGCCCAGTATCTGATCAAGCAGACCCTGTCCCTCTCCCGTGACTGCATTGACGCCCAGCAGACCTTCCTGCCCCACGAGAAGGAGACGTTTAAACGCTGGGCGGAGCTCATATCACCCCTGGAGGACTCCACAACTAGCATAACTGTGACCAGCTTCTCTCCTGAGGACGCTGCCTCTCCGCAGGGGGAATGGACCATTGTGGAGCTAGAAACACATCACTGACAAAGACTATACAGAATTAAAAGTGAATGGCTCATCATGGCGTTAGAAACACATCACTGGCAGACTGACTGATTAACAGCTTTAAGGACTAAGGAGACGCTAGCCTATCTGTTAACTTCTCTCTGGATTTATCAACTATACCATGCGTCTTCAACCTTTTTCTTGCCCAGGGACCCCCATCATACATGAGCAATTTTTTATTTTCTTTGCTGACCCGCTGCAGTACCCCGGTTGAATACGTCTGAACTATACAACACTTCTGACTGCATTTAGGAGACTGACACTGCTACAGTACTATCTATCAGGGAGCTGTTACACTGTCTCTCTGGACTTTTACACCATGTCTTCTGTCTCTCTCGACAACTACGGTACAACAATTCTTCTGTTTTAAACCTTGATTTCTATGTTTGAGTCCTCTATTTATTTATTGGTTGACTGTCTCCTGCTATTTATGCTGCTTTTCATGGAACTCTTGAGTTTTTTGGACTCTCAAGCTGCGCTTGTTTGTTTGCATTCAGTCTGCCACCTTCCGTTATATCCTTAATACTTAATGGACTGAGAGTTTAGACACATGAGCTGTTGTGCATGCAGACATTTCATGTTTACTTGGTGTTTGCAACATTTAGAAGAAAATTAAAAAGCTTTCTTTCTCATGCTCTTTACTCTTTATGATGGTTAGACAGTGGAGTTTCACAGAAACTAATTGTTGTATATGAAAATAAAAATGTGTGATTCTAAAAACAATGGTTTCATTGATTGTTTTAGTTTAGTGACAGTTAATTCAAATATAATACTAGATTATTTTAGAAAATGGAGATATCATTTGTGAAATGAAATAGATTTTTATTGCACATGTCAGGTTAAAATGAGGGATACGCTTCAAAATGAATATTTGAGCATTTGTTACTGTATCTAATGAACTTAATAGAATCACATTTTGGCAGTGGTGTAAAGTACTTATGTAGTACTTTAAATATGTTTTACTTAAATCGTTTTTGGGGGTATCTGTACTTTACTATTTATATTTTTGACAACTTTTACTTCACTACATTCCTAAAGAAAATTATGTTATTTTTACTCCATACATTTTCACTGATTCCCAAAAGTACTTGTTACATTTTGAATCCTTAGCAGGACAGAAAAATTGTCCAATTCACACACTTATCAAGAGAAGATCCCTGGTCATCTCTACTGCCCCTGATCTGACAGACTTAGTTACTAAACACAAATGCTTCGTTTGTAAATTATGTCTGAGTGTTGGAGTGTGCCCCTGGCTATGTGTACATTTTTTTTTTTTTTACATTGTGCCTTCTGGTTTGCTTAATATAAGGATTTTGAAATTATTCATACTTTAACTTTTGATACTTAAGTATATTAGCAATTACATTTACTTTTGAGACTAAATACTTTTAGACTTTTACTCAAGTAGTAGCCTATTTTACTGGGTGACTTTCACTTTTACTTAAGTCATTTTCTATTAAGGAATCTTTACTTTTACTCAAGTATGACAATTGGGTACTTTTTCCACCACTGCCCTTTGGATCCAGTTAGAGGGCTGCATTCTGCGGTCCAGACAGAGATCATTGTGGCGCAGTCCGCGTTTGAGGTCAAGTGCGCCTGGCTATATGTGTGGTCTCAATGAAATAGAGTAAGCTGCTTATGCATGGGCGGAGAATCATGTGGCACTGGCAGTTACACTATTATTTACTACAGTGTCTGTAAATAAATATTGATAATGGGAAGAAGTGGAGGGCGCTCAACCAACGTGAGTCGAGGTGCAATAGAAAAAAGTACATAATCATTGAAAAGGAAAAGGCGCAAAGCGCGCTTAGGCTACCATAGTGAGCGAGCGTTGCGCCTTTTCATTTTCAATAAATATTGTTTAGCCTACCCATTTATTTGTCTATGCCTGCAAATCGTCTTCCTAAAAGGTAGCTCAAGTGCAAGTGTCCGCTGTCACCATTCTTGCTGCTTCAAGTTCAGTAGCCATAAATGCCAGATCAGGTGTGCTTGTGGTTTCAACTAAATAGTAAGCCTAGGCTATAGCCTATGCATGGGCGGAAAAGCATGGGACAGTTAGGCTATCTTTCCAAGGAAATGTACTTCCTAAATATGATTAGGCTATAGTTCACTAGTACATTGCTTAGAAATAAATATTGATCACCCATATTTGTCTTTGTCTGAAAATCGTCCCACTCCTAAAATGCAGACTATAAAACATCAAGACAAAGTACAAGTCTCCAATTCTGCTCTCTTCAAACTATGTCTAGCCTATTGGCTGATATAGCCCAGTAATACTGACAGCCTAATATAATGGGCTATGTGAGAATCTCTGGTAATTTAACCTATTTATTAGGTTATGTTTGCGGTTTTTGATATTGATGGGACCATGGCTGGCAAGTGAGCTGCGTCACATACGCCTAAAATAACATTGCAGGACTGCGGTTGAGGTCGGGACCAGTTCCTGCAGTAGCATGTGGGAGTTGGACACAATGGACAGAAAGGGTGTGGGCGGGAGCGGGATGGATAAATCAGTCCCGCGCAGACCTCTAGATCTAGTGACGTCATTGCTCACGCCTCAAACCTCAAAAGTTGCTAGCTGACCGTTTCTGTTGTAGAATTGAGTGCTTCCCGATCTTGAGCTGAAGTCATATTGACAATTAGATTATTACAGTTTACACAAAATATGCCCTAGCCATTTCATCATGGCATTATCTAAAACATTTGATCCAGGGCCTGTGTTATGGGTGGGGGGTGGGTGTGGACTGGCCTTCCCTACTGTACCTCTTGCCCATACAAATAAAATATTGAAATAGTGATAATTTATTTGACCAAGACGCGCACCTACAGAAAGGCATCAATCTCAGATAAAGAATCCGATCGAGCGAAACAGCGCCCCTCTGTCTCAGTATCTGTAGACCATGTAGCCTATCTAATGCTGTCTGCACAAAATGAGTAGGCTATGGCATGTCATAGCATGTCAAATTACTAGTAATTTTGAATGATTGTGTTCATCGAAAAATCTATTTTGAATGCAACAATGTTTCCAGTCACATTGATATGTAAGTGCTGTGCTTTTATTGTGTGTAACTGAGGGATCCTGTGGTCTATTACTGATTCCTTGGCAGCAATCTCAGAGTTCTACCTGTATGTAACAACACAGAGATAGTCAAGGGGATACTGACTATAGCCAAAGTAAGGATCAAACAAGACCTCCCTCAGTCCTCACACATCATATTGACACGGATGTTAAGTGATAATAATACTAAAATATAAAGATACTTGGCATTACTGTAGTGGATACAAATAAGGTATACAGTCACAACCTACATTATTGGCACCATTGATAAAGATGAGCAAGAAAGTGGATGAAATAAATACAAATGCTGAGCTATTGTATGCTCCAAAAAAAATTGAAAATTATATTATACTACGTAATACAATTACTGAGAGAAATATTTTGTTTAACAAGTAATACAAATGCATCTCAAAGACAGGTGTCAATATTATTGCAACCCTTAACAATTCAGATAAATAAAATCTAACAAAATTGAATCTGCATTAAACTTCTACTTGTTCAATTAATCTAAGTTTAAGGAACTGTTTTGTGGTCTTTCATGGGTTCCTGTTTGACTGGGGTATGAAAATTAGGTAACGCATGTAAAAGTAATTTGTTATCCATCACCATGGGGAAAGGCAAATAACTCACAAATGAAAAGAGACAAATGGTTGTTAACTTTCATAAATCAGGCAATGGGTACAAATAAGTGTTGCATTTATCTTTCCGTTTGGCGACCCCCAAATCAAAATGCATCACTCCAAAATGTAACTGGTTGTCTTCAGCAGGTTGTCCTCTAAGGAGTGAGTTTCAACAGCGCATACAACCTGATTTCCTCCCTAATCAATATGAGTGATTACTTGCCACTTGTCCAAACAACAATGTTTTGGTGCATACAGTGCATTCGTAAAGTAGTCACACCCCTTCACTTTTTCCACATTTTGTTACTTTACAGCCTTATCTAAAAATAACACATTGGCCTCTTATCATTCTTAAATGGAAGAAGATTGGAACCACCAAGACTCTTAGAGCTGGCTGCCAGGCAAACTGAGCAATCTGGGGAGAAGGGCCTTGGTCAGGGAGATGACCAAGAACCCGATGGTCAGTTCCTCTGTGGAGATGGGAGAACCTTCCAGAAGGACAACCATCTCTGCAGCACTCTACCAATTAGGCCTGGGATGGCGGATGGGCGTAAGCATCTGAATCCAAAGGTTGCAGTTATTATTGTTTGGGCTATTTATTAAAAGTTATTGTCAACGGGAAGCAGCAACAGCATCATTTTCAATTTACAGTATGTTTTACGAATATAAATGGAACTTTCAACATTAATTTCCAATAGTATTCTACTCAATTAGGTAAAAACTGCTGAGTGAGTCACAAAAACTGTGATTTATTTATTTTGATGACCTACCAGAAATCATGAAAACAGGGTTGACTTGGCTATAATAAGGCACATATACTGTATTTAGCAATAACAAATAAGACAAAACATTCCTCATCTGCTATACAGTGACTAAAAAACGACCTACAAATGTCTACAATTTAGCTAGTCAGCTGACAGGCTAAATGTGGCTAACAGTAGTTTCTTAGCTAGATAGCATAAAATGCTGTACAATGATGAAAATATTACTAAAACATTGCCAACTTCGTCAGGAAACAAATACTGTACTCACAGTTCTTGCATTCACGCACAGTAAAGGATAAAACAGTTCGAATACTAATGTTGGAAAACCGGAGATTCCCTGCTCAGCCACAGATGGCAAGCTCCAGTGTTGCCAACTCCTCAGTAAGAAAAGTAGCTATTGGCTGTCCTAAAAGTCGTTAGAAGTCGCTAAATGACATCATCACCTAATTTGCATAATTGGCCATGTGCATGTAATTGTGATGGACGCTGTATGAGAGAGGAATGACGCTGTAGGAGAGAGGAATAACGTTGTGGGAGAGACAAAAAGTGAGTAAAAAACACCCTAAATATGTTTAGAACTACAAATGAACTTTCTTCTGTCGATTCTTGTTTGTTTTTATGTCACAATTCCAACCCTCCTCCTTTATCCGGGCTTGGGACCGGCAAAAGTGACCCAAAAGAGACACTCTGGCAGAGTTCCTTATTTTTTTATTTTTTATTTTTTTTTATTCTTAAGTTTGGTTTGGTTTTTAACCTTATGGTCCACTTAGGAGCCTACAACAAGTCACAGTAAAACATGAACATTTTTAACCATAACATTTAAAGAAAAAATGTGTATACAATCTACATTAACAATCTAAATGGACCAAAAAGAGACAATAGAAAAAACTGTCAATGGCAATGTGAGAAAATGATGGTAACTAGTCTGGCCCTAATTCAGGTTAATTAGTTTTTTTTCCAGACCCCCCTCCACACACACACAGGCTGTGCTGGCTCACAGAAAGAGTGGGTCATCGTCATTTTGGTCAAGGCTCTCTATGGCAGGTTCAGCAACTGAGGGAGCTGACTTAAATGAGTAAGCAGCTGATGTGCCAAAAAGCTGCAAAACATTATCAGGCAGCTGGTGCTCATAGCAAGCCTCACCAGACAGCTTCAGTCCATATCGAATGTACAGGATGGAGTTAAGGGTCTGCAAGGACATCCGATTTCTAAGTTTGCTTTTTACCACACTCATCTGGCTGAATACTCTCTCGACTTCATCATTCGAGTGTGGCAAGGACAACACAGACACAGCAGCCATGGCAAGTTCTTGAAACGGGTTGATATCAGCTGCATCCCTGAACTTCCAAATCTCACTCCAGAAGCCCAGTGTGTTTTTTGTCTCATTCCATTTACTTAGATGGATGGCACGCCATTGCTGGACAATCTTGTCTATCTCTGCAGGGGAGTAACCAAGGAGCTTGGCTATTTTTTATATTTCTCCAGGGCTCTTATTGTGCTTTAGAGCTTCCTCCACATTGAAAACGGACATGTACTGCAATGCTTCGATGTTGTCCGGCAGTCTCACCCTCAACTCATTAGTGAGGGAGATGGTGAAGGCTACACACCGCTTTCGGACATTGTTTTCATCCTCAGGCGCAAGGTGGAGCTCAGCTGCCTTTGACTCAAAAAGGTAACCAAGGTACGGTTTGGGACTGATGTATCCATCTATTGGCCCTTTGAGTACATCAACATTTGCCAGTGGATTCAGCACCCTGCTGCTCACAGACTTGATCAGGCTAACCAAGCTGTCAAGTAGCTTAAGAGGATCTACTTGCTCTCCCTCAAAAGCCTTGATGGCCAACTGTACCTCACCCAGCACTGACTTCAAAAAAGTCAGATACAATATGTTTTGAGGATCACTGTACATGGAGTATAAAACCTCAGCCATGTAGCAGTGTTCACTGGACTTGGTGACTGTGAAATGCAGCATAAGCTCCTCCCACTGGTCCAAAATGCGTGAAACCGCGGGTTTAATGGAGAGCCAACGTGTGGCACACACCTTGGTTATCTGTAAAGGTTTCTCCCCCCAGTTGATGGTCTCATATATGGCCTTGTAGGCCTCCCTGCGCTTTGGAGACACTGAAAACCAGTTATAAGTCTCTCGTACCAAGTACTCCACACTATGGGGGATGGTGTCATTGCAAGCATGACTTACAGCAAGCTGCAGAGAGTGGCACACACAGCGAATAAGAACCAGATCTTTGAGGCCATACTCCTCCTTCAGCACTTTATGGACCCCATTGTTAATCCCCGTCATAGCAGAGGCATTGTCAGTCCATATCTTTTTACGAACATATCAAGACTGTTTCAAGGACAGCTTTTTTCCATCTACGTAACATTGCAAAAATCAGAAATTTTCTGTCCAAAAATGATGCAGAAAAATTTATCCATGCATTTGTTACTTCTAGGTTAGACTACTGCAATGCTCTACTTTCCGGCTACCCGGATAAAGCACTAAATAAACTTCAGTTAGTGCTAAATACGGCTGCTAGAATCCTGACTAGAACCAAGAAATTTGATCATATTACTCCAGTGCTAGCTTCCCTACACTGGCTTCCTGTTAAGGCAAGGGCTGATTTCAAGGTTTTACTGTTAACCTATAAAGCGTTACATGGGCTTGCTCCTACCTATCTTTCCGAGTTGGTCCTGCCGTACATACCAATACGTACGCTACGGTCACAAGACGCAGGCCTCCTAATTGTCCCTAGAATTTCTAAGCAAACAGCGGGAGGCAGGGCTTTCTCCTATAGATCTCCATTTTTATGGAACAGTTTGCCTACCCATGTGAGAGACGCAGACTCGGTCTCAACCTTTAAGTCTTTACTGAAGACTTATCTCTTCAGTAGGTCATATGATTGAGTGTAGTCTGGCCCAGGAGTCTTCGGATGGGGCCACAGTGTCTCCGGACCGCTCCTGTCTCAGCCTCCAGTATTTATGCTGCAGTAGTTTATGTGTCGGGGGGCTGGGGTTAGTTGGTTATACCTGGAGTACTTCTCCTGTCTTATCCAGTGTCCTGTGTGAATTTAAGTATGCTCTCTCTAATTCTCTCGTTCTCTCTTTCTCTCTGAGAACCTGAGCCCTAGGACCATACGTCAGGACTACCGGGCATGCTGACACCTTGCTGTCCCCAGTCCGCCTGGCCTTGCTGCTATTCCAGTTTCAACTGTTCTGCCTGCGGTTACGAAACCCCTACCTGTCCCAGACCTGCTGTTTTCAACTCTTAATGATCGGCTATGAAAAGCCAACTGAGAGACCTGAGCCCTAGGACCATACGTCGGGACCACCGGCCGTGGTGACTCCTTGCTGTCCCCAGTCCGCCTGGCCTTGTTGCTATTCCAGTTTTAACTGTTCTGCCTGCGGTTATGGAACCCCTACCTGTCCCAGACCTGCTGTTTTCAACTCTTAATGATCGGCTATGAAAAGCCAACTGAGATTTATTCCTGATTATTATTTGACCATGCTTGTCACTTATGAACATTTTTGAACATCTTGGCATGGTTCTGTTATAATCTCCACCCGGCACAGCCAGAAGAGGACTGGCCACCCCTCATAGCCTGGTTCCTCTCTAGGTTTCTTCCTAGGTTTAGGCCTTTCTAGGGAGTTTTTCCTAGCCACCGTGCTTCTACACTTGCATTACTAGCTGTTTGGGGTTTTAGGCTGGGTGTCTGTACAGCACTTCGAGATATTAGCTAATGTATGAAGGGCTATATAAAATAAAATTGATTGATTGATTGATATCCCCAGGACACTTCTCGAGGAAAGCCACAACAGCACGGGCTATAGATTTGGCATCTCCTCCCTCCAACTCAACAAGCCCCAGAAATGTTGATACAATTGTCTGCTTGGTGTCACTAAAGTACCTTATCACAACCCCCAGGTACCATAGATTAGGGCCTAATGAATTCATTTTTAATTGACTGGTTTCCTCATATGAACTGTAACTCAGTAAAATATTTGAAATTGTTGCATGTTGCGTTTATATTTTTGTAAAGTATATATTTTCAATCGAGCACTACAAGCTGACAGTCAGCTTATGTTGACCTACACTGAGTGTACAAAACATTAAGGACACCTTCCTAATATTGAGTTGCACCCCCCACTTTTGCCCTCAGAACAGCCTCAATTTTCCGGGGCTTGGACTCTACAAGGTGTCGAAAGCATTCCACAGGGATGCTGGCCCATGTTGACTCCAATGCTTTCAACAGTTGTGTCAAGTTGGCTGGATGTCCTTTGGGTGGTGGACCATTCTTGATACACACGGGAAACTGTTGAGCCTGAAAAACCCAGCAGCGTAACAGTTCTTGACACAAACCGGTGCCCCTGGCACCTAATACCATACCCCGTTCAAAGGCATTTAAATATTTTGTCTTGCCCATTGACCCTCTGAATGGCACACATGCACAATCCATGTCTCAATTGTCTCAAGGCTTAAAAATCATTCTTTAACCTGTCTCCTCCCCTTCATCTACACTGATTTAAGTGGATTGAACAAGTGACATCAATAAGGGATCATAGCTTTCACCCGGATTTACCTGGTCAGTCTTGGAAAGTTTTGTACACTTAATGTATTTACTACTGTCTATGTTTTAAACTGGACGTAGAGTTGATGAATCAATTATATCTTGTTGGCTATGAATGCCATCCCCATTGCTCGAAAGAAGGGGATTCTAGGAATGAAACCTGATCTTCATTAGAGAATCTAGATATGGGCCGTAACCCATGTTCCATCTGCCTTATGCTGGGCACCAGATATACTGTACGTGGCTAGGATATGCAGCTGTCTACTGCAGTATTTATGATGACCAGATCGGGGGAAGCTCACAGTCACAGCTTGTAGAGGGGCAGGGCAGGCTCACCAGTCCATGGCTTGTATTTTAGACTGGAGAGAGGTAGCAGGATTGCTTAGACAGACCCTTTGGGCCAGTTTCCCAGACACAGATTAAGCCTAGCTCTCTGACAGTGCTTTTTCAGTCCAGGACTTTAGTTCTGTACTCAGCTGTCCATAATGTTCAGCATATCTGTTTCTGGGCCCCATGGGAAACACAGAACCAGACTCAGTAAGGGAAGAACCTGGGTCCCCACAAACCATTCACTCCCATTACCTGGCTAGAGATACTAGGAGAATAACACAATTACAAGTTGCACAGTATACACCTTCTCTAATTCAATGAAATGGAGTGACTTTCCTGCTTATCACAATGTATCCTACTATATCTTACCTTCTGTCATGAGCCTCTCACTCCACCGGGTTATCACCTTAATTTTCTTCCACTCTGCTCACCACTCTCTCTACTCAGCCTAACTAGCTCCACCTGTCCCTGCTCTGCTCTGCTCTAATTACTCTGCCAGCTGCGCTGCATTACCCACTACCTCTCCCAGTATTTAAGGCCCTGTCTTTCAGCTCTCCGGTGTCAGATCGTCTGCAAAGCTCACACCCGGAACCTGTTTGCTCGCGCTTCTGGCTCACCCTGGTTTTGTGACCCCGGACCTGCCTGATTTTTGGATACTCTTCTGCCCCAGGAGATCCAGACCTGCTTCTGCCATAACGACTCCTGACTACTCTTCAATCCCGGTAACTCTGACCAGCCTTCTGCCTTGCTACTACGTATTTTGGATTTCCCTTGAACTGTACTGCTGCCTTGTTTCATTCCGCCCTGTTGTGTCTGTGTCTCCCCCCCCCAGGACTTCTGGACCACCCACCACCGGCTTCATAGGACGCATCGCTGCCACTGGGGGGGGCACAGACCCAGCACATTGGACGGGATCCCTGTTACCCCTGGAGCCTTCATTCACTCCCTACTTCCCTTTTCCCTTAAGTTTTAATAAACTTTCTGGTGTGACGCAATTGTGGTCCTCTGGTCGTCTGTCTGAACCGTGACAGTACGATCTGACCATTATGGACTCAGCGCACACTTTCCCCGACATGGAAACCGATGAGCATGAGCAGCAGTTCCAGCAGCAGCAACAACAACTCGCCATGATCATTCAACTCCTCACCAACCTTACCCCAGCCAGTCTGCCCACCAGTCCCGCCCCCGAGTTACCTGCCCCGGTCATTGCAGCCGCTGCTCCGGAACCCAAGATTGGAAACCCCGAGCGGTTCAACGGCGATTCAACCCAGGTCCGGCCATTCCTGACTAGCTGCCGACTTCAGTTCTCCTTGCAGCCAAGGACCTTCGCCACGGAGGGGGCTAAAGTTGGGTATGCCATCACTCACCTGACGGGCCGAGCTCGACTCTGGGGAACAGCAGAGTTCGAACGTCAAACCCCCGCATGTGCAACCTTCGACCTGTTTGCTGAGGAGATGTTGAAGGTGTTTGACCTGGATTCACCAACCGCAGAGGCGTCTCGTGAACTGTTCAGTATTCGACAAGGCAGACGTACAGTCGCAGACCATTCCATCGACTTCCGAACCCTGGCTAGACGAAGTTCTTGGAACACACCATCGTTGGTGGACGCGTTCTTCCATAGTTTGGCTGACTATATCAAGGACGAGTTGGTCTCCCATGAACTGCCTTCCACTCTTGATGAAGCCATCGCACTGACTGTCAGGATCGACAGAAGGATACAGACCCGTCGTCGTGAGAGGGGGCGCCAAGGTCCACCTACTACCGGCATTCGGAGAGATCCGACTGGGCTCCTGTCATCTACTGCCACTCACCCAGGTCAGCTTGATCAGTCTGAGCCTATGGAGATTGGGCGAGCCTCTCTCACTCCTGCAGAGCGCCAGCGCCGCTTCACCTCAAACCTCTGCCTCTATTGTGGAGGTGATGGACATCGTGTGGTAACCTGCCCTTTAAAGGGCCGAAGCTCACCGGGCATAGAGGGAGTCCGGTTGAGTTCAATGACCATCCAGTCCTCCGACCGCAAACCCCTGCTGCAAGTTCACCTCCGCCTCTCTGACTCAACTCACACCCTGGCTGCTCTGGTGGATTCTGGCGCCGAAGCCAACATAATGGACATCAAGCTGGCACGCCAACTGGGACTGGAGAACCTCCGTTTGACACCTCCTATTCCTGCCCGGGCACTGGACGGACACTTACTCGGATCGGTCACTCATGTCACGGCCCCGGTCTCGATGGGTCTGTCCGGAAACCATCAAGAAACTATCCAGTTTCACCTGCTCCCCTCTCCAGGCCAACCCCTCATCCTGGGTTACCCATGGCTCCGCCGGCACAACCCTCAGCTCGACTGGGTGACCGGGGTGATCAGGGAGTGGGGAGAGGACTGCCACCGAACCTGCCTGCTTGCTGCCGCACTACCCCCCTCGGCCAGTACCTACTAACTCCGCTCCTGACCTCTCCAATGTCCCAGAATGCTACCATGGTCTCAGAGAGGTGTTTAACAAAGCAAGAGCCACATCTCTGCCCCCTCACCGACCGTACGACTGTGCCATCGACCTCCTCCCTGGAACAGCCCCTCCAAAGGGTCGTCTTTATTCGTTGTCTGCTCCTGAAAGAAAGTCCATGGAGGACTACATCAATGGCTCTCTGTCCGCAGGATTAATCCGTTCATCTTCATCTCCTGCTGGTGCTGGCTTCTTCTTTGTGGGGAAGAAGGACGGATCCCTTCGCCCCTGCATCGACTACAGGGGACTCAACGACATCACAGTGAAAAACCGTTACCCTCTGCCTCTGCTCACCTCTGCTTTTGAGTTGCTCCAGGGAGCCACTGTTTTTACCAAGTTGGATCTCAGAAACGCTTACCACCTAGTGCGGATCCGGGAGGGAGATGAATGGAAAACCGCATTCAATACACCAACAGGCCACTACGAGTATCTGGTTATGCCTTTTGGCCTCACCAATGCTCCTGCTGTGTTCCAGGCTCTAGTGAATGATGTACTGCGGGACATGTTAAACAAGTTTGTCTTCGTTTACCTGGATGACATCTTAATCTACTCCAGAAACCTGTCTGAACACACCCGCCATGTCCAGCAAGTCCTTCATCGTCTTCTGGAGAATTCCCTCTACGCCAAGGCAGAGAAATGTGAGTTTCACGTCAAGACAGTGGCCTTCCTGGGGTACATAGTGGCAGAGGGAAGTATCCAAATGGATCCTGCCAAAGTATCAGCAGTCACTTCATGGCCAGTTCCGGAGAACAGAAAGAAGCTGCAACAGTTTCTGGGGTTTGCTAACTTCTATAGAAAGTTTATCCGGAACTACAGTACCGTTGCTGCCCCTCTCACTGCTCTAACCAGCACCAAGCAACCCTTCACCTGGACCCCAGCAGCCGACAAAGCCTTCAGTACCCTCAAGGTGAGGTTCACCTCCGCTCCCATCCTCCAGATGCCTGATGTGGACCGGCAATTCATTGTGGAGGTGGACGCCTCGGATGTGGGAGTTGGTGCTGTGATTTCTCAGTGGGCTGCGGAGGATAGGAAGCTCCATCCCTGTGCCTTTTTCTCACGTCGGTTGTCCCCCTCTGAGTGCAATTACGACATAGGGAACCGTGAGCTGCTGGCTGTGAAGCTTGCCTTGGAGGAGTGGCGTCACTGGCTGGAGGGGTCCACCATTCCATTTCTCGTTTGGACCGATCATAAGAACTTGGAGTACATCCGCACGGCCAAACGGTTGAACTCCAGGCAGTCCCGCTGGGCCCTGTTCTTCACCAGGTTTAATTTCACTCTGTCATACCGGCCTGGATCACGCAACACCAAGCCAGACGCCCTCTCCCGTCAATTCCAGAAGGATGACACCCCCTCCAAGGACCCTGTGTCGATTCTGCCAAGTCCCTGCATCGTTGCAGCTCTGACCTGGGCTGTTGAGGAACAGGTGCTGGAGGCTCTCCGTAACCAGCCAGGTCCCAGCACTTGCCCAGCTGACCGCCTTTTTGTCCCCGAAGACCTGAGGTCCCAGGTCGTTCAGTGGGGACATGACTCCCGCCTAGCTTGTCACCCTGGCTCCACCCGCACTTACAACCTGCTCGCCCAGAGGTTCTGGTGGCCCTCTCTGAGAAAGGATGTACGGGAATTCGTCCAAGCCTGCCCCATCTGCAACCAACACAAGTCGTCCTGCCAGCCCCCAGCCGGATTGCTGCAGCCCCTGCCTGTGCCCAGACGTCCCTGGTCTCACATCGCCCTTGACTTTGTCACGGGGCTGCCCCCTTCAAGTGGCATGACCGTCATTCTCACCATAGTTGACCGTTTCAGCAAGATGGCACACTTCATTCCCCTCCCCAAGCTCCCAACCGCCAAGGAGACCGCCCAGGTGGTCCTGGAACACGTCTTCCGGATCCACGGACTGCCAAAGGATGTAGTTTCTGACCGTGGTCCACAATTCTCCTCCGCTTTTTGGAAGGAGTTCTGTCACCTGCTGGGAGCCACAGTCAGTCTGACTTCCGGATTCCATCCCCAATCCAATGGGCAGTCAGAGCGGGCTAATCAGGAGCTCGAGAAGGCACTGCGATGCATGACTTCACGCAACCCCCACTCCTGGTCGCAGCAATTGACATGGGTGGAGTACGCACACAATTCTCTGACCTGCTCTGCCATCGGTATGTCCCCTTTCCAATGTGTTTATGGATACCAGCCTCCTCTATTTGCCAGCCAGGAAGAGGAGGTTACTTGCCCATCTGCACTTGCTTTTGCCCGTCGATGTCGCCGCACCTGGTCACAAGCCCGAGCCACACTCCTCAGATCCGTTGCCAGCTACACTACCGGGGCCAACCGTCGGAGAATTCCTGCTCCCACCTACCATGTTGGTCAAAGGGTGTGGTTGTCATCGAAGAACCTGCCACTCAGGGTGGAGTCGCAGAAGCTGGCACCTCGGTTCATTGGCCCATTCCCTATCATAAGAGTGATTAGCCCAACTGCTGTCCGGCTCCAACTGCCTAATTCCCTGAGGGTGCACCCCACTTTCCATGTGTCTAAGATTAAGCCCATCCATGAGAGTCCGCTGGTCCCTGCTGCGCCTTGTCCTCCTCCTCCACGGCTCGTCGATGGTGGTCTGGTTTACACCGTCCGCCGCCTGCTTCGGTCCAGACGGAGGGGTAGGGGTCTCCAGTACCTCATTGACTGGGAGGGCTATGGACCTGAGGAAAGGACCTGGGTGCCAGCTAGTCGGATTGTGGATAGGACTCTCATCACCGCTTTCCACCAACGGCATCCTGATCAACCTGCAATCCGTAGGGGCCGCCCCAGAGGGGTCCCTAACCGTCCTGCCCGCTCGGCTTCCTGTCCTGTGCCTGATCCTGTCTCGGGACCTGTCCCATCTCCCGACCACGGCCCTCCGGCTTCCTCCGAGGATGAGGACGTTCACTCGGACCGTTCGGAGGAGTTCTAGCCCTCCTCCGGCTCCCCTCCTCCCGCCCGGCGTGGTGTTGCTCTTGGGACTTCTGGGGCCGTCCCTTGGGGGGGGGGTTCTGTCATGAGCCTCTCACTCCACCGGGTTATCACCTTAATTTTCTTCCACTCTGCTCACCACTCTCTCTACTCAGCCTAACTAGCTCCACCTGTCCCTGCTCTGCTCTGCTCTAATTACTCTGCCAGCTGCGCTGCATTACCCACTACCTCTCCCAGTATTTAAGGCCCTGTCTTTCAGCTCTCCGGTGTCAGATCGTCTGCAAAGCTCACACCCGGAACCTGTTTGCTCGCGCTTCTGGCTCACCCTGGTTTTGTGACCCCGGACCTGCCTGATTTTTGGATACTCTTCTGCCCCAGGAGATCCAGACCTGCTTCTGCCATAACGACTCCTGACTACTCTTCAATCCCGGTAACTCTGACCAGCCTTCTGCCTTGCTACTACGTATTTTGGATTTCCCTTGAACTGTACTGCTGCCTTGTTTCATTCCGCCCTGTTGTGTCTGTGTCTCCCCCCCCCAGGACTTCTGGACCACCCACCACCGGCTTCATAGGACGCATCGCTGCCACTGGGGGGGGCACAGACCCAGCACATTGGACGGGATCCCTGTTACCCCTGGAGCCTTCATTCACTCCCTACTTCCCTTTTCCCTTAAGTTTTAATAAACTTTCTGGTGTGACGCAATTGTGGTCCTCTGGTCGTCTGTCTGAACCGTGACACCTTCAAAGAGTTCAACCTGATTCTTGATGTTCTTTATAATGTAACCCTCTACTTCAGCATGGCGACTGTTTTTTATCATACACCTATGATTTTCTACCCCATTTGTAATACCATGTGGTTCTCGAGCACTACAAATCCATCCAATGCAGACATACAGTGTCACGATCGTCATATATAGAGGAGGACCAAGGCGCAGCGTTGAAGGCGAACATATTTATTTATAGACTGATCACACGATCAAAACAACAAAACGATGACGTGACAGTCAATGGTAATACACAAACCAAATACGAACAAGAAACCACACCAAATGAATGCCTAACGGCTACCTAAGTATGACTCCCAATCAGAGACAACGAGCTACAGCCGTCTCTGATTGGGAGCCACCCTGGCCAACATAGAATTACAAAACCAGAAAGTGAAACCTAGAACACACATAGACTATACACACCCTGGCTCAACATATTAGAGTCCCCAGAGCCAGGGCGTGACAGTACCCCCCCCTAAAGGCGCGGACTCCGACCGCGCCCACCAAATACCACAGGGGAGGGACCGGGTGGGCACTCCGCTTAGGCGGCGGATCCGGCTCCGGGCCTGTTCCCAACTCCCTCTCCAACCCCCCAAAGTACCCCTGGTCCGGTCTTGCCCCGCTGGCCGGAGCTGGACTGCACACTGGTGGAGCGGATTGCTCTAGCTCCGGCGTGAAGCATCTGACCGGTGCCGGAACAGGCACGGGCCGTGCCGGACTGACGACGCACACCACTGGCTTGGTGTGGGGAGCAGGAGCGGGCCGAGCCGGGCTGTCGAAGCGCACCACTGACTTGGTGCGGGGAGCAGGAACGGGCCGAGCCGGGCTGACGAAGCGCACCACTGACTTGGTGCGGGGAGCAGGAACGGGCCGAGCCGGGCTGACGAAGCGCACCACTGACTTGGTGCGGGGAGCAGGAACGGGCCGAGCCGGGCTGACGAAGCGCACCACTGACTTGGTGCGGGGAGCAGGAACGGGCCGAGCCGGGCTGACGAAGCGCACCACTGACTTGGTGCGGGGAGCAGGAACAGGCCGGACCGTACTGGGGACACACACCACTGGTCCTACGCAGGGATCTGGAATGGGCCGGACCGGACTGGTAACACACCCCAGTACCTCTCGCCGTGCCTCTACACCTTCCACCCCCTCTTCGACCAGTGGCCCCCGTAACCTGGCGGCCTCCTCTGCCAATCCGCTGGGCCGCTCTGCCGCGGTCTCCTGCTGGCCCGTCGTCCACGGCGTTAGCCCCCCCCTAAAAATGTTCTGGGCGTCTCTCCTACCCGTGGACCAGGTCTCCATGTCCCTCGCCAGCCTTTCGCCCTTCTGCTTCCAAGTCAAGCCCCTCTCTTCCTCACACGGCTTGACCCAGTCGAGGAGGCGAAGGAGATCTGCTAGAGATCTCCCTGGCGATGGCTCCTGGACACGCTGCTTGGTCAAGTCTTGGTGGTTTCTTCTGTCACGCTCGTCGACCAGAGATGAGGACCAAGGCGCAGCGTTGAAGGCGAACATATTTATTTATAGACTGATCACACGATCAAAACAACAAAACGATGACGTGACAGTCAATGGTAATACACAAACCAAATACGAACAAGAAACCACACCAAATGAATGCCTAACGGCTACCTAAGTATGACTCCCAATCAGAGACAACGAGCTACAGCCGTCTCTGATTGGGAGCCACCCTGGCCAACATAGAATTACAAAACCAGAAAGTGAAACCTAGAACACACATAGACTATACACACCCTGGCTCAACATATTAGAGTCCCCAGAGCCAGGGCGTGACATACAGACTATACAGTATTCTCACCTGAAGAATTTGTCCTTAGCCTCAGGTCCGAATTTATCTATGAAGAGCTGGAACACTTTAAAGCCTTGTTCTCTCTGGTAACAGGAGAAAGTAGTTATTAGGCTACACAGACTCAAAATGATTTGTTTTAGAACAGTTTCAATGTAGAATTTGTTTAATGCATGCATATGTTTTATTCACTTACCAAACGCTGAATTGGACACACAGTCAGGAATTGCATTAAGTGTTGTGTTTTCATACAAAAAATAAAACAAAAAATATGATTATTATGTCTCACATGTATGCATCTGTTTAGCTGCTTCTACTATGTAGTCAGACTCACCTGTGGAACACTGTAAAATGACTTTAGGTCCAGCAGCTCAACTTGGAGGCTGTTGTCCTCCACTCTCTCCAAGCTTTTTGTATATAATTCCTGAGTGATAGAGAATGGAGAAGAATACTTACTACTCAGAGAATTCGTTCAATATAGTATTGGGAAGATTTTAAATTAATTTATCCTTACCAGGCCTTTGAGTAGGAACGATTCATCCTTTCTATTTTAGAAAAGAAAACCTATTGTTTAGAGGAACACTGTATATCTTAAACTGAGGTTTTATTATCATGTAAGAACAGAATAGGTTTGACAACATACCTATTTAGCAAGAGGTCGCTATATTCCATATTACACAGGGTTGAAAGATCAAATAAATAATATTAATACTATGATATTTCAAACATAGTTATCACACCATATCTTCAATAATAAGGTTATTCAGAACCTTCTACTGTGTCTCACCTGAAAACTGCTGGAAAGTTTTCGATGGTGATGAGTTGGACAAAGAGCAGGTATGCCAGACATGCCTGTGACTCCTGGGCTTCAGTACAGAGCCTTGTAGAACAGGAGGCCTGGGAGAGGCTTCCTGATGGCTGGTAGCGTGGCCTAGGATCAAACATGCAATGTATTCTTGTTTTAGCTAGGTTCATATTCAAATTGTCTCTATGAGGTTGATTGCCTTGTTGGGTAGTTGATTGACTTGTTGGGAGATGCAGTAAGAAAAAGACCTCACCCTTAGTTTAGCAGTGTTAGGCGCAGAGCCATTTCAAAAGGCCATCCCTCAACCAGGTAGGCCCAGATTAATTACCAGTATGTTTGTAGCAAAGTGCCATTTGGGTGACTTACCAGTATGTCTGTAGTGCCATAGGGGAGACTGTTTAATATGGATGTCTATAGCCTGGTCTAGCTGTGCCTGTAGAGAGAACAGCTACATACACAGATAGGGCTCTACCTGTGCAGAGCAGATTCTCCTTTGCCCTTTATAATAAAGCATTGCATGCATATCATCACATTTGCATAGTTGCATTGAGCAGTAGAGTAGAGGCACTTACAGAAGTTGCACACAGGGGAACATTTTTAGTAGCCTAGGCTCCGGGAAAATGTTGGCCTTTTAAAAACGCATTTTATGCAATTCTATGGCAGGCTACTTTGACGCTGACAAGCTGAGTATCTGAGATCAATAAGAACGACCTTGTCTTGAATCCATCATTAACCTAGGCCTAGGTTTGTGGAGTCACATATTGTAGGCTACAATATGAGGAGGAAATTATAGTCCTAAAAATGCTTTCCAGTTTCACTGATTTACCCAATGATGCGGACCTCACTCGCTGGTGATTGTCGATGCCCTCGTGCCAAAAGCCTATCTCTCTCTTTCTTTTGTAAAACAATATTTGGAAGTTGAACAAATATTTTGGTAGCCTACAGCATAGTCTTCTCTTTTCAGTTGTCCCTCGATTGTATTTGAAATATTGCAAAAGGTCTGTTTTGTCTACCTGCTGTTTTTCACTGACAGATTTGCCGCGCGTTCCCGACTGTAGGCTATTCCTTGTTATTGTGCTACAATCCACAGCTAGGCTATTTAAAAAAAGAAGCTATTGATCCTCTGTGGCTAAATTATAGGGCATCTCATGGTGTAGTAGGCTATTCTGAATGATTACATTTATTTCTGAACAGACAGCAGTAATGCTATAACTTTGGCAAATGTATTTAACTTCATCAGGGATTCTGCAGTTCCTCCAGAACCCATCGCGCAGCTATGATTCTTTCAGGAAATAAATGATGAAGTGCAACGCTGGAGAGATGAGTTGCATGCTCATGTCTATCTGAGCAGAGAGAGCATAGAAAGTGAATCTCATTCTAGTTATGTGATAGATACTGGCGCGCTTCTCACACAGCCACCGCCACGCGTTGGTCTCAAACATAAATTACAATGATGCGCAAACCATACCATAAACCCGGGCCTGCCCACCCCAAATCAACTCTTAGAATATTAGGCCCGGGCTGAAAATCTACTTTTTCATATTACGTATTTTTTTGTTGGGGCAGAAGAATTAACGAAGAGGCGACTCGAATTAACTTTCATCGCTTTTATTTGAATTTTTACATTGCAAAAAGTGACAAAAAATATTCATGCCACGAGAGGAACCGGATCCGGACAAATAGGTTACGGAACAAAACAGTCCAAACCGGAGAGGTGCCGGATCCTGTTCCGGCTTGATCCGGCTCAAATTAAGCGCTGTCTTTTCCTAACCTTAACCTAATTATCCTAACCTGCTACGTTAATTCTCATAACCTGCTGCCTAAATTCTCCTAAACCTGCTACGAAAAGTCAATTCTGACAAAAGCTGTATCCCTTCTAGACAAAACCAGTTTTGCCTGACAAAAACATAGTAGGCCTAGGTTTATCATCCATATATAATACAGTTTAGTAATTAACTACTGACTGATCTTTGCCAGAACAGAACCTGGCGATTTCATTAATAATTTTAATATTTCAGATAGGCCTAGTTTGGGTGGCTACTACTGACTATATGTCTATAGATAAGCAGCTATAATATCGTACTGCCTTCAATATTATGGAATGAATTTATTACGATATGTGTGAGGAAGAACAGGGCTACTACCCCCAGTGCTTGACTTGGACAGGAGCTCACCTGAGCCGAGTACCGGTACCTCAAACTTTCTACTGCTTGAGCTCCTGTTCCTCTTATAGCATATTACTGTAGCTCAAAAGTATTGTGGAGCTCCTGCACCTAAATATAAACAGTACAGGGACCCAAAATGAGTACCGGCACCTATTTCAGTCCAAGTCAAACACTGGCTACCCCGCTGGCAACGAGCATTCTGCAGGCAGGCTGCCCTCCAAAGTGATGGCGGGATGCAGACAGAACATGCTTTTCCATACGATCATGCAACTTCCGCTACAAGTAGGCCATATGATTTTGCTTTCTCTTGACTCCAGAGACGTGACATGATACTGTATATCACTAGTTGATATTGGCTGCTAACATGAATGACTTTCAGCTCCAAATGCAGGTGTAAAAGGCAGTTTATTTCTGTAGCCTATCTTGAGTTTCAAAAATGCATCACCGTTTAAGGGTGTAATGACAGACTACATTTGTGCAACGATTGTGCGCGCATGTTCACGTGTGCACAGGTGTTGTGCGTGCGCGGAGGTCGCATGTTTTGTAGGTCTATAATCTTCTATTTTGACTGGAATTGTGTTGGTCATTGTTAATAAATACAGCATTTATTCCAGTTCAAAATAGTTTTGTAAAGTACTTAACTCATTAGATTGTGCTGCTTTCCCATCTTCTTGTAATAATTGCTCAATTAGTCTGTGGCCGTGGTTGAGTGCAAAATTTTTTTGGGGTGCCCTTTTTTTGTTTGACCACATGCCCCCTTAATGTGTGCACTGCCCTGGGAGACTCTTACAGATCAACAAGCCGCTGCTCCTTTTAGCATCCTTCATATCCAACTAAGCACACACACAGACAGTCAGACAGAGACAGCTACAACTTGAGAAGCTCAGTCTTTTGCTGATTGTCTGAAGCAGTGCCACCATCCTTGCCGTTGTCCCTCCTCTTCACCTCCTCCAGGAATGGCTCCACGAACCTGGCCAGGGCTGAGCAGCAACTACACAGACTGTATGCATCCTCCACCCCTTGCTCCTTTGTGTAAGGCACCGGCAGCCTGGACACCTGCTTCTGTAGGGCAACCAGAACCAGGCCTACCCAGGAAGAATTCTCATCACCCAGCCACACCAGCACTACAGGAGATAAGGAGCCATTCAAAAGTCACCAAGATGAGTAGCACTAGGAGAGCCAAAGATACGTTTAAAAAAAGCAATTGAAGCTACAGTTGAAGTCGAGAGTTTACATACACTTAGGTTGAAGTCCTTAAAACTTGTTTTTCAACCACTCCACAAATTTATTGTTAACAAACTATAGCTTTGGCAAGTCGGTTAGGACATCTACTTTGTGCATGACACAAGTAATTTTTCCAACAATTGTTTACAGACAGATTATTTCACTTATAATTCGCTGTATCATTTGAGTCAATTGGAGGTGTACCTGTGGATGTATTTCAAGGCCTACCTTCAAGCTCAGTGCCTATTTGCTTGACATCATGGGAAAATCAAAAGAAATCAGCCAAGACTTCAGAAAAAACAATTGTAGATTTCCACAAGTCTGGTTCATCCTTGGGAGCAATTTCCAAATGCCTGAAGGTACCACGTTCATCTGTACAAACAATAGTACGCAAGTATAAACACCATGGGACCACGCAGCCATCATACCGCTCAGGAAGGAGATGCGTTCTGTCTCCTAGAGATGAACATACTTTGGTGCGAAAAGTGCAAATCAATCCCAGAACAACAGCAAAGGACCTTGTGAAGATGCTGGGGGAAACCGGTACAAAAGTATCTATATCCACAGTAAAACGAGTCCTATATCGACATAACCTGAAAGGCCGCTCAGCAAGGAAGAAGCCACTGCTCCAAAACCGCCATAAAAAAGCCAGACTACGGTTTGCAACTGCACGTGGTGACAAAGTACTTTTTGGAGAAATGTCCTCTGGTCTGACTGTTTGGCCATAATGACCATCGTTATGTTTGGAGGAAAAAGGGGGTCGCTTGCAAGCCGAAGAACACCATCCCAACCGTGAAGCACGGGGGTGGCAGCATCATGCTGTGGGCGTGCTTTGCTGCAGGAAGGACTGGTGCACTTCATAAAGTAGATGGCATCATGAGGAAGACAATTATGTGGATATATTGAAGCAACATCTCAAGACATCAGTCAGGAAGTTAAAGCTTGGTCGCAAATGGGTCTTCCAAATGGACAATGACCCCAAGCATACTTCCACAGTTGTGGCAAAATGGCTTAAGGACAACAAAGTCAAGGTATTGGAGTGGCCATCACAAAGCCCTGACCTCAATCCTATAGAAATTTGTGGGCAGAACTGAAAAAGCGTGTGCGAGCAAGGAGGCCTACAAACCTGACTCAGTTACACCAGCTCTGTCAGGAGGAATGGGCCAAAATTCACCCAATTTATCGTGGGAAGCTTGTGGAAGGCTACCCGAAACATTTGACCCAAGTTAAACAATTTAAAGGCAACGCTACCAAATACTAATTGAGTGTATGTAAACTTCTGACCCACTGGGAATGTGATGAAAGAAATAAAAGCTGAAATAAATAATTATCTCTACTGTTATTCTGACATTTCACATTCTTAAAATAAAGTGGTGATCCTATCTGACCTAAGACAGGGAATTTTTTACTAGGATTAAATGTCAGGAACTGTGAAAAACTGAGTTTAAATGTATTTGGCTAAGGTGTATGTAAACTTCCGACTTCAACTGTATGTATTATGCATCGGTTATTTGACTGCATTCTGACTTGTTTTGAGGGAATTTATCAGTACATACAGTACCAGTCAAAAGTTTGGACACACCACCTCATTCAAGGGTTTTTCTTAATTTTTACTATTTTCTACATTGTAGAATAATAGACATCAAAACTATGAAATAACATATATGGAAGCTTTGCACACTCTTGGCATTCTCTCAACCAGCTTCATAAGGTAGTCACCTGGAATGCATTTCAATTAACAGGTGTGCCTTGTTAAAAGTCAATTTGTGGAATTTCTTTCCTTCTTAATTCGTTTGAACCAATCAATTGTGTTGTGACAAGGTAGGGGTAGTATACAGAAGATAGCCCTATTTGGTAAAATACCAAGTCCATATTATGGCAAGAACAGCTCAAATAAACAAAGAGAAACGACAGTCCATCATTACTTTAAGACATGAAGGTCAGTCAATACGGAAAATGTCAAGAACTTTGAACGTTTCTTCAAGTGCAGTCTCAAAAACCATCAAGCTCTATGATGAAACTGGCTCTCATGAGGACCGCCACAGGAAAGGAAGACCCAGAGTTACCTCTGCTACAGAGGATAAGTTCATTAGAGTTATCAGCCTCAGAAATTGCAGCCCAAATAAATGCTTCACAGGGTTCAAGTAATAGACACATCTCAACAGACTGCATGAATCAGGCCTTCATGGTCAAATTGCTACAACGACACCACTACTAAAGGACACCAATAAGAAGAAGAGGCCTACTTGGGCCAAGAAACAGGAGCAATGGACATTAGAATGGTGGAAATCTGTCCTTTTGTCTAATGAGTCCAAAATTGAGTAAAGCATGGAGGAGGAGGTGTTATGGTGTGGGGGTGCTTTGCTGTTGACACTGTCAGTGATTTATTTAGAATTCAAGGCACACTTAACCAGCATGGCTACCACAGCATTCTGCAGCGATACGCCATCCCATCTGGGTTGCGCTATCATTTGTTTTTCAATAGGACAATGACCCAACACACCTCCAGGCTGTCTAAGGGCTATTTGACCAAGAAGGAGAGTGATGGAGTGCTGCATCAGATCACCTGGCCTCCACAATCACCTGACTTCAACCCAATTGAGATGGTTTGGGATGAGTTGGACCGCAGAGTGAAGGAAAAGCAGCCAACAAGTGCTCAGTATATGTGGGAACTCCTTCAAGACTGTTGGAAAAGCATTCCAGGTGAAGCTGGTTGAGAGAATGCCAAGAGTGTGCAAAGCTGTCATCAAGGCAAAGGGTGGCTATTTGAAGAATCTAACATCTAAAATATATTTTGATTTGTTTAACACTTTTTTGGTTACTACATGATTCCATATGTGTTATTTTATAGTTGTGATGTCTTCACTATTATTCTACAATGTAGAAAATAGTAAAAATAAAGAAAAACCCTTGAATGAGTGAGTGTGTCCAAACTTTTGACTGGTACTGTATTTGGAAAGGAAAAGGTCATCAAGATGTAGCTCAGTTGGTAGAGCATGGTGCTTGCAACGTCAGGGTTGTGGGTTCGATTCCCATGGGGGACCAGTATGAAAAACAACAACATGTATGCACTCACTAACTGTAAGTTGCTCTGGATAAGAGCGTCTGCTAAATGACTAAAATTAAAAAAAAAGAAATGAAGTTTTTTTTAAGTGTCCAGTAGAGGACAGCAGACACCATCGTCAAAGCATAGACTTCACAATGCACAGTGTTACCTGTAGCAGCTATACCACTGCTCAGTATTATCTGTCTGAAGATGCGGGTCCATAAATATGATGGTATCTGCAATGAGGTCCGGATGAAGGTCATCTACTTGGCCGAGCAAAACCAGCATGAGTTCCGTCGGGCTGCATGTCTGAGAGAACATATTTATACATTACGGTTAACTCTAATGCCATGTGTATCTACCCATTGTTTAGCCTCCTGCCAGCCTCTTCTGTCAAAGGTCATTTATAGTGCTTAGCTTACCATGGCCAGGTGTGCGTTAGCGGTCTGACAGGTAGTCAAACTCTTCTTCTTCTAAGTCATTTACATTTCAGCAGACGCTCTAATCCAGAGAAATGAGGGTTAAGTGCCATGCTCAAGGGCACATCGACAGATTTTTCACCTAGTCAGCTCAGGGACTTGAACCAGCAACCTTTTGGTTACTGGCCCAATGGCTCTTAACCGCTAGGCTACCTGCTGTGTCTATTCTGTACATTTGGAAAGAAAGCTGCAGCTGGTGATAAAGAACATTTGCACAAGTGTATGGGGGGTATACAAAATGTTGGTTGCATGTGGGCTTGCATATGACCACCGTAGCCCTTCACATCGATCAATAAAGCTGAGTTGACGTCCTTGCAAAATATAGACCCTTTTTATGACTCTCATCAAAATGATCTACATTTTTCACTACTTGTTCTCTTTTTAAAGCGAATATCCCTTCACTATGGTTAGAGAATTCTTGACATCGATGTTTAAGACCACAAATTTCTCATTTGTGAGTCAATTACATTTCTTCAAGTCAGAAACTCTCTGAGGCTCTTTTAGCTCCTGAAAGACATAGAAAAACCATCCTGACATATGCTCATCTAAGTGTAGGGCGTAGAGGAGAGGGAGGCGTGGGGAGGTGGGACAACCAAGGGCACTTAAAGAAGAGCTTTTGCAAACAGGGTTACCATCAGTGGAGCGAGAAATCTGACTGGAAATCGTCTGGTTCAGTCCTCACACCTTCAGATCAACAGGCAAACAACAAGCTCTGGGTAGTGGTAGAGTCCCGATCATTATTATATGTATGCATCCCAAAGGGCACCCTATACCGTGCATAGTGTCCTGGTCAAAGGTAGTGCACTATGTAGGGAATAGGGTGCCATTTGGGATGCACTCTATATGTCCATGGTGGCAATGTAGCAAAGTGGCCTGTACTAGTAGACTTGCTGTTGTTGTCACAGAGGAGACTGGAGTGTGACTGTGTCTGCCTTCACTATTATCGGCCTCTGGGATTTAACAATAGATCTAAACTGTACTGTTCACTACATAACAGCAAGGTGTGATTTGTCTTACGATATCTGTGAATTTAATTACTCATTTGGCAGAGACTGAGAGGGCCTCTCACAGGAGGACATGTGATGGTGATCGATGCATTTACCTGGTTGTTCTTATCTTGAATGAAGTCCACCAGTTTTGCCGTGTCACCCTGATTAATACATGTCAGCCCAGTATTCTGGAACAGTTCATGGTCCTCTGGCCTCAAACCCTCTTCCACCACGGCTTCTCGCTGTACAGATACAAGATGTTGACTGACACCACTCACAGAGACAGCTAGTTCAAAGTAATAGTTTTGACAGTATTATGCATCTGATAAATCCTATTATTGTAGAACAGTTCATATCAATCATATTATTATAAGCGTAGCTAGTTGTTATCATTCTGATATGAGCCACTTTTAGCGTGTTAGCTTACCCATCTCTGGATGACATCCTGCAGCGGATCAGCCATCCTCAGTGTTTGTCCTGACTAACAATTATTGTGAGGTCCAGAAACGAAGAGTTAGAATATTCAGAATATAGAAGAAATACGAATAATATTTAAATGACTGCCAAAAAAAGACACCAGATCGTTTCTGTTGCAATTTACAAATTACTTGTGGTAGAGGTGGACTGTCCAGAGCCCTCAGTTAACCTTTATCAATCCCTATGTGCCTGAGACATAATAGGATTAAAGCAGTGCTACATGGTCACAGCAGACAACAGAATTGTCTGGAAGGCTCTAGCCGATTAATATCATATCAGCTTGCTATCCCAGACAGCCAGACAGAAAGACAGGAACACACACACACGGCTGTAGCTAGTTGAGGGGCTGCTCTCCTTGGTCCTTATTTGTAATAAATAGATAGGGTTAGCCAGGAGCATGTTTGAACGATAGGATTTAGCCAGCAGCTGCTGGTTAGGATAGGTTTGCTCTCTGTATTGCGTCGTGATGAAAGCAAAGCTCTGAACAAAAGCCACAAAGCAAATACACGCAGAGACAGGAAATGGGACCTCTGTGTTGACTCTGATTTAGTCATCTTTAATTGGAGGCTGATGATTGTTGTGACATCAAAGCTTCTTACTACAATACATGAAAAAAATACAGTTTAAAGTCATGCATGCATTTTAAGTATGGGTGGTCCCAGGAATTAAACCCACTATCCTGGCGTAGCAAGCGTGGCATGCTCTACTAACTGAGCTACAGAGGATCTCTGTAGGTCTAAGAAATATCTGGAAAGGAGAGGGGAAAGAGGGAAATGGGAAACTAATCAGATGTAGAGGATGATAGCCTTATAAAAAGTGGCACTTATTTTTCAAGTACTGTACTCACTCAATATCAAAGACAACCACAATGATACATTGGGTCATTCGTTTTCACTAGACATTTAGACGATACAGTCTGAGACAGCCAAATACTATAAAGTGAAGCCAAATTATAAATTATGTGCATTGAAATTCAATGCCTATCACTTGGTGTCTTCACACTCCTGGATTCAATACAGATTGACATAGAAGAATTGTTCTCTTTTCCAAAGGGGAAAATCAGCTTATCTTCACATCAAGATTTAAATATTTCATAGGCAGGCAGGTAGCCTAGTGCTGAAGAGCATTGGGCCAGTATCTGTAAGGGTGGTTTGAATACCCGCGCTACACAGATGAGTCTGTGCTGCAGCTGGAGAGAGAGTAGGTGAAACATTTGTCAATGTACCTTTGAGCAAGGCACTTAACCCTAATTGCTTCTGTAAATCGCTCTGGATAAGAGCATCTACTCAATTGTGCTTTGGTAAAAAGCCAGACCCCTTTTAGCTCAGTAGTTACCTATGACCAAACTCTACCTCTAGAGTGCACTGTTTTCTCAAAGTGAGCTGTGGGGTTTCAAGTGAAGCCTTGAGCCATAAGGTGAGCAATGTATAAGATCACTTCAGTTTGTGATTTGAGAACAGAAAATCAGTTAGCACAGTAGCTTGATGAGATATGTTAAGACACATGTAAATGAGAGTCTTCTGGCTATTGCATTTGTGACCAATGATTGTTCATCTCAAGCAATGTTGTGGAGGTGACACATGGAATACACTGAGTAAGATATAAGTAAGATAAATTGCAGAAAAGTTTAATTGTATTTGTAGTTCTGTTGTTTATCCACTTATGTAATAAATTGTAAATATAATTCATATTGTGTTATTGGAAACTTTGTTGTTGTGGCTGTCAAATAATGTAATATGGTCAATTGAAATGAGACAAACAGATTATCCTGAAACAGTCAAATGATGGAATAGGATTGGTTGCCATAGCTGTATACTGTGTACAGTTTGGATTCTTCCCAGATGACAATGGACCAGATAGAGGAAAGCGATCCAGGCAGGCAGGGTGTCTCTGGCTGTGCTGTGACTCTACCGTTCCCTCTCTGGCACAGCCTGAAACATTCATGATCACCAGGAGAATGTGATCTGCTTGGCCAATGCTACTTACAGCTCTCCCCTCAACCACCACCCCACCAAGCTACAGCCTTCTCTTCTCACAGCATCACTGCTTGAAAAAGGAGGCCAGTGGATAGGAAGCCTGTGGGCCAGGATGAGCTGTACTGAAAATACAGCACTTTGTGTTGATGATAGACTTTTATTTAGCAAACTATGAATGACAATTGATATATTTACATCAAAATAGCAGGAGAACCAATAAGCATAGTCATTGAAATGTTTTGAAAAATAACATTTTATACTGTATTATTATGTTATACTGTATATTATAATTTTTTGCAATATATTAGCACACATGCTCAAAATGCAGATTTGAATATTACTCAAGAATACCTAAATGAAAGATATTTCAGAGAATGTAACTCTGCCGCACTATTGAGAATGGAATAAGAGAGGACTAGTGGACCAGAAAGGGAAACAGAGTAGACAGGAGGTGGCTGGGTGATGTCTGTGACAGGTGAAATAGAAATACTAACACTTGAGCGAGCACTTAAACGGATCAAGAGAGATTTTTTCTAAAAGGCTAAAAGCCTCTATCACTTCCAACAAGACAGTAGAACCCCAAACGCAGTGTGTCAGCATCTCTATACACTGGAAGAGAGAGAGAGAGAGGAGGATTGGTGACAAAATCGCTTTGACAGCCGGTTCATATGTAACATCTCCGATGCTTCCACCTTGGGGAGTTGCTTGGGAGACGGGGCTCCGTCGCCGGGGGTAACCATGCCTGAGTTGCCGTGCACACCATAGCAGAGAGAGAGGCCTCGACCGTGGCCCATGTCTGTGAGTCGAGACACACAGTAGATTATTGATCACAGCCAGACAGGGTGTCATTCTCAGAGACACAGCAGACAGCCAGCAGTGTCTCCCGCCCTGTCTATTAAAGGTCCCCTCTCTGTCTGTATTGATTGGGGAACAACTCAACACTGGTAATTGTCATCAAAATGCCGATTTACAAACAGGCAAGCAGAGCAGAGGCTGGTAGAGGAAGCACGGTACAGTGACAGCGACAGTCAGTATGGATCTGTTGGTGTGTGTTACCCCCAGCGTCCCAGACAACAGGCCAACAGGCAGATGCTAGTGTCCAGGAAACAGTGAAACCTGCTTCATCGTCTGGGCTTTTGTCCTTGTGCCTTGGAAGCTGTCACCTCCCTCTACTCTGCTGGATAAAGCAGCATTAAGGCCTGTTGAAAGATATGAAAAAAAGGGCCAGACAACATGTGTACCACTGGCACGGTAGCCTTCACCAAAGTACACAGAAATGCCCACAAACGCATTGACACACTTAGAGCTGTCCTCTGCTCCCTCACAGGGGCACAGCCCCTCCCTTTAATTGTTTTGGTATGGACTGGATGTTCCCTCGTGAGACCTGGAGCTCCATTAACTCAGTCCACTAGGGCAGCTCTCTTTATCTTTTTTTAAATCCCTGCTGAAGACACACTTTAATAAAGATGATTTCAATGATTTAATTAGCTATCTTCTTTCATTCTTCTTCCTACTGTCTTTGTTACTACTTTTATTGTATTATTTTATTATGTGAAGCACTTTGTTACTCGTATTGTAAAGCGCTATACAATAATGATTAATGAGAAAGTTACAGACGCACAAGTATAATACCCCTAAAACATGCTAACCTCTCACCACTACAATAACAGAGGAAGTTAGCATTTTTGAGGGGGGTATGATATTTGTGCATCTGTAACTTTCTCGCTCATCATTATTCACGATTCTTTCAGGACTAACCATAATCATGGTAGCATCCACATTAATGTAGAAGTGTTTAGAAACATATTATATTCTTTTTTATAATAAAAGTGACTCCAAAATGACACAATACATTATTTACCATTCATTTCTATTGGGCACAAAATAATCTGAAACACAACCAAATCAACCAGCAGATGCATCCAACAAGTTTGTAGAGTCACAAGCTTGATGTAATTAATCATTGCATGCTAGGAATATGGGACCAAATATTAAACTTTTGACTACTTTACACATATAAGTGAATTTGTCCCAATCATTTTGGTCCCCTAAAATGTGGGGACTATGTACAAAAAGTGCTGTTATTTCTAAACGGTTCACCCAATATGGATGAAAATACCCTCAAATTAAAGCTGACAGTCTGCACTTTAACCTTATAATCAGTGTATCATTTCAAATCCAAAAGTGCTGGAGTGCAGAGCAAAAACAACAAATAATGTGTCACTGTCCCAATACTTTTGGAGCTCACTGTATGTTTCCCTAAGAGTTGTGCAAAGTTGGTAGAATCTTATTTTAAATAATTCACAGCTGTAATGGCTGCCAAAGGTGCTTCCACCAAGTATTAACTCTGGGGTGTGAAGACATACGCAATCAAGACATATGTGTTTATTTTATTTTATATTAATTTGGAAATTGTTCTATAATTTTCTTTCACTTTGAAATTGTGGACTAGGTTGTGTAGATGTGTAGAAAAAACCCAAATGTAATTCCTTTTTAGATTACATTTTAAGGCAGCAACATGTGAAGACTGTGCAAGGGGTTTGTAGGCTTCTCAGCACAATTTGGGAAGTACAAGAAAGCACATCATATAAACTTTTCTTGAGAGATTCTTGAGAAAATGTGGTCTATGGGTTCATACTTGACTATAGGGAACTTGACCAATTTTTGTGATGTAACTTTGCAGTAACATTTTGCAAAATACATGTTTATTATGTGAGAAATTTCTACACATACTAGGTAACCCTTTGCTAAAAAAAAGGGAACTACAAATCAGAGAGAAAACTGTGAGATTCCTGCTAATTTACTCTGTGGTCAATTACTACTTCTCTTCTTTAGGTTACAGTACTCTGAGATAAAATGGGAACTACCATCCAATGAAAGAAGCAAATCAAGGCCAGCATATCAGAAGAATATCTGTGTTTGAAATCAGACGCAGCATTCAGTCCAGACCAACCACAGTAAACAGCAGCTGAAGTGGGTCTGGGGACCTGAGGGAGAGAACCTAAACATG